AATTATAATCATAATCAAAACAATAATCATAAATCATGTTAAAGCATAATAATAGCAAGATCCTAGGCATGATACTAACAAGATTAATAACAAACCCTAGCGTGTCACTAAGCAATAAAAATCAAATCTTTAACCCTAACATGATACTAACAATCATAAATATTAGGAAGAACATAGGAAGCATCATAGCAATCATATTTAATATTAAAGTTACCCTAGACATGATACTAGGAATATCATAATAACAATATAAACATGATTTCTACATCATAACATCAATTAAAACCATTAAAGCACTTACTTTGATGCCTCGTACCTCTTTCTAATAACAAAATACACACGTTAGTAACTTCAAGGAAAATAATAATCAAAACAATTAAATTAAATAATTGAAATAGAGATTTGGAACCAAACCCTCAGAAATTAAACCTTTCACGTCTAGGGCAAAGGCAACTTCGAATATGGCTAGGTGTTCCTAGATCTTGTGAATGCGGAATTTTGTATGTAAAAAACAAAGTTTAGAATTAAAAGAAAGAAAGAATTAAGGAATGAGAGAGAGATAAAAGAATTAGAAAACTGATTGTAGGTGAATGATCGTGAGAATTGGTGAATGAGGAGAATTGGTGAATGTAGATGATTCAAAACGGAGTTTTTAATACGTTATTTATAGAGAAAATCAGCCAAAAAGATAAAATAAATAAAACAGAGTCTGACGCACAAAAAACAGAGTTGGCGCAAACCCTGGCTAGCTGGCGCCAGGCACCAACACTAGCGCCACTGCGCCAGGCGCCAGGCGCCAAAGCCCGGGGTCAGGCGCCAAGCCTAATTTTAACGCGTTTTCGAAAATCAGATAAGTTTGCCGTACTGGAGGATAAAATCATATAATTTCCTCGAAAATGCTATTTGATTTTGATTAAAACTCTGAAAAGTCAAAAGTCAATTTATCAATGCTAATTGAATTAGGAATGAAAAGAACCTTCTAGAAGATTCTAGAAGACTAAAACCATTCCTATTGCATTAGGAATGATAAATCATATTAGGCCCTCCCCTAGATCATTGGGCCGTACATAAAGCTCAAACCGGGCCCAGTTTGGTAAATTGGCCATAACTTCCTCAATATTCATCGGAATTGGGCTTATAATATATCGTTGGAAAGGTCTTTGCAAGCCCCATCCAACTACACTACTATTGGACCCATATCATGGACCAACCAAACTGTATTAGCTGTTTTCTTAAAATAAGTTTTCAAAAACAGAGAGAAGAGAAAAGAAACTTAAAACTTTCCGCAACACTAGACTTTCCACACTTTCGCTTCATTCGATTATGATTCGACGTGAAAGGCACTCATCACTGGGTTTGGTTTTGGGGAGACACAAATGGGTGTCTACACACATACTCTCCCATTAATAATGAAAGAATATGAGACCGAAGACACACAATGCATGACCAAATTCACCCATCTTCCATCAAAACCCATAGTGAGGAGAAGTTTCCTAAGAAAGCCTCATTCTACTCTATCGTAGGCCTTACTCATGTAAAGTTTCAAAGCAATAGTACCCTTTTACTCCGATTTCGGTTCTTCATCGTATGAAATAATTCTAAGGCAATGAGAGCATTGTCCGTAATCAATCGCCCCGGAACAAAAGCACTTTGATTTTCAGAGACCACATCAGGCAGAATAGATTTTAATCAAAGAACAAGGGCTTTTGAAACCAGCTTATACAACACATTACACAGGCTTATCGCCCGGAAGTCAGACATACTTGTATGAGATTTTACTTTCGGGATAAGAGCAACATTAGTATGCTTAACATTATTTAGAGAAGAGACACCACACAAAATATTGCGAACAAAATTAAAAACGTCATCACCTACAATATGCCAAAATCTTTGATAAAAAATAGCATGCATACCATCCGGGCCGGGGGCTTTACAAGGGTGCATTTGCTGAAGAGCGACAAAAACCTCATCTTTCGTATAGGGACAGAGCAACTCCTCTTATTTTCTGCCTTAATACAAGCCGACACATGTTGTAGAACCTCTTGGCATTTCGCACTTGAAGGGTTTGACGAGGTAAAAAGATTCGAATAGAACCCACTCACAATGCCTTCCAAGCAGTCGTCATCCTCCCATCACACTCCTTCATCATCATACAACCCTTCGATGGTGTTTTTTTTTTCCCTTCTATGAGAAGCCTTGTGGTGGTAATAGCTAGTGTTCTTGTCACTATCCCGCACTTCAAGAACTTGAGAACGGAGAAACCAATATGCTTCATACTTCCTATGTAAATCATCAAGAGTTTGCTCAAGGTGAGCACTCCTATCACAAGACTCCTCCGTAATCCTTTCTTGCTGCACCAGTTTTAGAGCAAATTCGGCCTCTTCAATCTGCTTCCCTAAGGCGTCAAACTTATCTTTACTCCACCCCGCCAGTCGTACACTGGTTGCACCAAGTTTACCCAGCACATCATACTCCTCATCAGAGTGCCACGCTTCCCTCACAACAGTTTCGCAAGTGTTATCAAAAAGCCAAGCAGTTTCAAACTTGAAGCTCTTGGTTCGCTTTTGCCTCTTTTTAGCTTTCGGAGTTAATTTCAAGACAATAGGGGCGTGGTCCGAGCAGAATTTCAACAAGTGTTCAACTGAGGCTCGTGGGTAAATGTGCATCCAAGATGAAGAAGCAACAAACCGATCTAATCTTTCTCTTACTCTTGTGCGAACCTTTCTCCCCCTCTCCCATGTCCACCATTGGCCTTTAAAGCCAAGGTCTCTAAGCTCACAAGAATCAAGAGCCTCTCTAAAGCCTCCTATTTCTCTCCTTTCACGACTTGCACCCCCTTCAATCTCATTAAAAGACAATATTTCATTAAAATCGCCACCAAACACAATCGGGTCACTAGCCTCATCACATAGATGTTGTATTAACTTCCATGTTTGATATTTGTTCCCCGATTCCGGCCACCCATACATTCCCACAAAGCGCCATCGATCACCACCTTTCATCACATCCCCACAAATGTGGTTTTGTGAGAAAGAAACAAGAGCGAAATTAATTTCCTCCTCACTCCAAAATAGACATAGACCCCCTGATTTTCCTCTACAAGCCACTCCAAAAGCATTCGTATAGCCAATTCTCCCTTTTATACTCTCTACTGCTTCCTTACCAATTTTAGTTTCCGAAATGAAAACTAAATCCGGGCTTACTGCTCTACTCCATTTACGGAGCCTTTGAACTGTCCAAGGGTTGCCCACACCCCGACAGTTCCAACATAGAAGACTCATTGCAAACGACGGGGTTGGAACTGGCCAACCTCCGTCAATAAAACAGATGGAGCTGGGAATTGGGAACTACTCTTTCTTCGTTTCCTCTCCCCTTCACTACCTTCTGTGTTCACCTCCACCTCCTCACCACAACCTCTTTTCTGAGCCTTAAAAGCAAGTTTATCTCCCCCCTCATCAACTTCCATCACCCCATCCCCTGCAGTCCTTTAGATCCTCTTCCAACTCTTCCCCCCACCCTTCTTACTATCCCCACCAAATATAAAAGCAGGAGGTAATTCGCTGCCCTTACCTACTTCCCCAGCTTCCTCTACCACTACTTCCTCGGACCCCACCACCTTCCCCTGGCCCACCTTTTCTCCAACAATTAAAGCTAATTGATTCTCCCCTGCTTCCTTCTCTGTAGCATAAGTAGTAACACTACTTCCCTACCCATCAATTCCATCTCCCTCTACTAGTGAGCTTACACTCCCACCAGATGAACAAGACACTTTCAGAACAGTCGTATCTTTGTCTTTATCCTTGGTAACAAAGAGTTGCTTTCTACAGCTAGCAATTTGATTAAATTCATCAATTTGTTTCTGGATCCCTTTCCTTGGTGAGGCACGCAAGAACAGACCCCAACCCATCCTTTTCAATCTCTCCTCTTCTGACACCGAGGTGCAGTCTTTCTCAGAGTGGCCAATAACGCCACAAGCGAAGCAAAAATATGGCAGCCTCTCATATTTAAATTCAATCCGGACTTCTTCGCCTTTTCTGTCTTTCACCCATTGGTATCGACGCAAAGGTTTTTCAATGTCCAGCATCAATCTAATTCTCCTTAATCTGCCAAGTCCTAGAGAATCTTCCTCCACCTCCAAGAATTCGCCTAGGTTAGCAGTTAAGGCCTTAACATAAGCATCCGACCTACAATTAAACGGTAAATTCATCACTCTAATCCAGAAAGGGGAACGATTTAATTCGACACGGTCAGGTTGTTCATCGCCATTAATTTCATTCAAAACGAGTAAATTGTTCTCCCAACACCATGGCCGACCCTTCATAATCTTCTCTTTATCTTTCCAATGGAAAAATTGGAAAGCGTACAAATTAGGGCTAATCACCCTAATGACCAGATCATTAGATGGTGCCCATACCTTCTTCATAGTCCTTTTAAAAGCTTCGACATTATATGGACGAGATGTGCAAAGTCGCCCAATTAGCAGTAGGTCAATGTTTTCATTCGATTCTTCGCACTCCACCTCCCCTAAATCAATCAGACCACCTTCATCTTTATCAATCCGGAGAATCGCACACTTCTGTGCCAACTCGTCGGCCATCACCGAGGCAAACACTGTCGTGACGGAGGGAAATCGCTCAAGGCGAAGGAACGACTTTCTTTCGAGGAGAGAGCCCTCTCTTTCAAGGGAGTTTTTTTAGTTGCTAGACTTCCTAATAAAATGATTCTTTGTGATAACGTACATATTTGGGATTATTATTATTATTATTATTATTATTATTATTATTATTATTTAAGACCTTGTGATTTGCAATTATATATTTATAGATGCAACACACTTTTTCACGATATTTAATAAATGTGGGGTTCACACACTTTAAAATGGGATGAGTGGTTGTTAAGAGTGTAATTTAGTGGGTCATGTGCTTTAAATAAGAGAAATAATATAGTTTTTTCCTAAAATAACTTTTTATTTATAGTGTGTTGCAAGTATTGTGACATTTTCATTTAAAAAAAGTATTGCAAGTATTAAAAAACAGAAGAAGTATACATTTATTTTCATATTATAGGATAGATGATAATTGACTTAAATTGTTAAATAACCATCCTTCTTATAAGAGGGTCGGTGAAAGACATTTTATGTAACGAACTGCAATCCAAATTCAATCCAAAATTTCAGATCGTATAAACGGGTTGCTAAAATATTTGAAAAAATTCCAATTTGTATCTGATCCAAAAGCCCGATTTTTTATTTTTTTTTGAATTTCTAATTCAAATTATTTGAAATTGTATAACCGAATTAAATATCCAAAATTTCAAGTCGAATCATCGGAATTTTGAACAAAACAGATCTGATATTTTTGAATATCCCTAGCCTAAGGGAGTAAGAAGTGCTCCGTACAAGCACATCAAATAATAATACAAAAAGGGTGATACCTAAAATTGAATTTTATAGATGCGTTTTTTGGTTGCAAAATTTTCAGGTGTAATTTCAACTTTGCGCTATTCCCTTAAAACTCACATATTTTTCACATATTTTTCTCCCTCCAAACTCAAAACTCAAACATAATTTGAATAAAAATACACCCCAAAAAAAAAAAGTTTCATATTTCCCTCCTTTTTCTCCTATATAGCTCATTTTCTTCAACTCATATTTCATTCACTCAACACCCCTAAAATCTCTCTCAATCAAAACTTGTGTTGCTTGTCACATTATCATCCAGCCGGCTCGAAAAGCCGGTCTTCGAGGTCTTGTCTCTTTGGGGTCAATCATCTTCCTCCATTCCTCATAAAAGTAAAATGGTAAGTTCAATGCAGGCTAACAAGGAGAACATCCCACCTTTCACTTCATCAAAGCAAGTCACAAACACAGTTTTTCAATTTCAAAGCAAGTGTCTCAAATGCCGCAGAATATCTGCTAGAAGGCCTCTTCAAGATATCACCCATCTCTTCAAATCACCACTTTATTCAAGATCTATTCCTCTGTTAATTCCCCTGCCTATCTATACTTTCGCCCCCGAATCGAATATCAGAAAGAGGAAAGCCATCCATGTTGAGGGCTATTTTAGTCATGGAGCCATTTCTAAGTCTCTTAGGATGAACTATAGATGAATCTTTATTTTGGATTATTTTTTTGGGTAATGTAATATTGGTACAAAAAATAATACAAAATTAGTCAGTCAATAAAAAAAAAAAAAAAAACAAGTCTATTAATGCCAATAGTATCCAAAAAATTGATCAAAGCTGCTGTATTTCCATTATATTTTGCAAATGTGTGATTACAAGTTTTCAATTGTTTGTTAACTCACAAATGGGAGATTGTTTGTGCAATTTAAAACGTTTAAATCGCGTCATGGGACTAATTGGACTAACCAATTGTGCCATGGCTCTTATTTTTCTTCACGACTCACCTAAATGGCTAAATTTGAAGAAAAAAAATTGAAGTTATTTGAGAAGCTTGTGCACCGTGCACGAGCCCTGTCGAAAATGACAAGCGCAACCACATCAAATGTTAGCTCTTTGTATTCCGTATCTGTTTGTTTTTGTATTTTGTAGTTGAATGCACTGGTTTTAGTGGTGAGCCGCTAAAGCGCTTATGTCCATAGGATAAGTGTCCGTGGACATTTTGGCTTTGTAGGCTCTTGAAGCCAAAATCTTGTTAGCAGCCTCGGTAGGATGTTCTTGATCCCAATATGCTCGTGCTTTTCGATCGCTACATGGTGGACTAAATGGGATACATTCTGCTGCCACTCCACAACATGGTTGATTTGTATTTTTCAATCCCACTCTAACTGCAAACAAAATCATAAATTAGTTAGGCGTTGCTCTGTTCAACTTTTGAAATTATGTTTGTCGATATTTTGTAATAAGTTGAAGTAAACAAGACCGTAGTCTTAGACAGTTTAGGCAGCTAGCAACTGGTGAAATGTAGCATACACCTTTGATGTGCATTCTAAATGTTTATATTTCGCCCTTTGTTAGTAGTCTAACTGTTACGTTTGTTAGGCTCTTAACTATGTTCATCGTTAATTTAACTAAAGATGATGAACATATATATAGTTATGAGTAATTCTAAAAGTTTTGCGAAAATTATATATAAAGAAGAAAATGAGTGACATGAAATGTGGAATTACCAAGATTTTCAAGATTATTTGCAGAGATGATATCCATACTGTTTATGAACACCAATTTGACTCCTGGGTGTTTGCTGTTATAATTATAAACTAGCGATTTCAACTTGTGATTATAATCCTTCAATACACCATTGATGAATCCTGAACAAGTCTGAACTAAATTTAGTATTGGAAGACAACCAAGTGGTGAGAGCCCAAATAATATGATCTTCCTTGCTCCCAGGCTAATAATAGTCTTCAAGAGGTCATACCATAAAAAGAAAAGAGAAAATTAGTAACAAAATATGCCAAAATTAAAATTACAAGTAAAAATATAATGCCTTTTTCTTAAAATTACAGGTAAAAATATAACGCCTTTTTCTTAAGACTTTGATCAAATTTTGTATTTATACTCAATAGAAATATACAATAGCTAGTGAGATGCTGTTAAATTCATTTCAAAATGAGCTTTTGAAACAAAATAACTAAAATATGAATAAAAACGTGTATTGAGAACAATGTAAGAAAAACAAAAATGTGTCTTTGTTTGAATTTTGTTGTTACTGTACGTTATTTCACTATTAATGTGACAATTTAATTCGTATAAAAAAAGTTTAAGCACGTATAAGAGGCAAGACTTACATTGATTTGACCGGTTAATTCTTTAATGAGTTCATCAGCATAGACACCGGGAATCATGTGTGTGGCCATAACAGTTGGTCGCATAAAATAGTTAAACATCCAGTCGTTGCTTCCAACATAGATGGAGTATAGGCATTTGTTGAGGTGAATACCAGCATTTTTAGAGCCTAGTTTATTTTTAATCTTTGATACTACTTCTCTGTGATTATTCACCTGTTTATTCATACAAACTCGATCCCCCTAACATATTCATAATGCCATCAGTTAGTCATATACAAGTAAAAAATACTCGTAGTAAAAATAAATCTATGATAAACATGTACAAAATTACTAAAATTACCACTTGAAAACCCGTTTCATCGAGAATACCCGAAGAACCAGATGCATAGTTAACACCATCCATAATTTCATCCTCTGGTATACTTGCAAAGGGTTTGATATAGTGCGGTAAACCAAGATGATCACCTGTACACATAAATTTTATTACAATAACTAGTAATGACTAATGATCATATTAAGGATCAAAATGTCTAAATTATTGCCATTAAACATTAGCATTATTTCATTGTTATTCAAGTTTTTTCGTATTATCAGATATGATCTTGTAAGAAAAATTTATATATTAATATGTTAATGTAATATATCCGTTGATCTAGCAAAATTTGAAATAATATTTAAAAAAAAAATGTGACCAAATAAAACGAACCAATAAGATCAACGGTTGTCCTTCCATTAGTAAATCTTCCGGTAGGGCCGTTAGGAAAATCTATTCCATAGGGTGGAAAATTGCACTTGGCCGTTGTTATAAGGTTATTGTTATTGCCACTATCTGATAGTGAGTCTCCAAATATGAAGAAACAAGGCACTTTTGGTGCCCCATTAACCCAATTTAGTTGCAAGCTAACAACTAGTATTGATACCAACGCTACTAAACTCATTGAACCTTTTTTTTTTTAAGTAAGAGAGATTTTTTTTTTTTAATCTTTTTTTGTAATTTTCTTTTGTTGAGATTAAGAGCTAGAGATTTATGTTAAAGTTTAATTTTATTTTATTTCGGATTAGTGAAGCTTTTAAAGCGAAAATGCAAGTAATTAACAAATATAGTAATATACTAAATATTGCAACAAGTGTGCAAGTAGTGTGAATTTTTGGCTCAAATTCCTATTTTTGTTCAAGTTTAGATTATTTGCTTCACAAAATTTATGAAGAAGTAGTGGATTATCACAAAGCACGGTAAGTGTTACAAATGCATCATAATTCTACTTGTTTTATTAGATTCAATATTGACCATCAAATATTATAGTACCATTTCGGCATTTAGACTTTGCTTGACCAAGTCCATATCCATATTTTTTTATTTTGTTCTATTGATTCTCTAAAAGTTAATTTATTTTTTCTTGGCTCAATCTCCACTTTTTTTAACGTGACTAATCACGCACCATACTTATATAGTTACATATGGAATTATCTATTCTATATTTTTAGTATACAAAAAGGTGTTTCATTATAAGGCTTGTTCTTATTGACTGAAATGTGCTGAACTGAACTGAATCTATTAAAGCTGAACTGAACTGAAAATAATCGTATGAGAACAGGCCTTAAGTTCGTGTTACATGACACTCTTCTCTTTGCAAAGGCTATATTTTCATATCAACCCTGAAATATAATAATAATAATAATAATAATAATAATAATAATAATAATAATAATAATAATAATAATAATAAAATCGACAATTAAATATACTGAACACGTGATCCAACATTACATTATTGTTTAATGTTTAAAATTAAAGACAATAGAGTTTATTTATATCTTTTTGCAATACTTACACCATTAGTTAGACCTATAATGCTTTTATAACAACAAGAAACAATTATAGACATTTCTTACACAATTTATTTACACCATTAGCAATGAGTCCGAATCCTCTATCCCACTCATATGTTCCATTCCATGTCCCATTCGTTTTGATTGGTCCACGTCACTTTAAATATCAATATTAATATTAAAAAAATTTAATAGCAAATTAAATTAAATAAATTTTACATAATTTATATTTTAGTCCTTATCTTTTTTTTTTGTTTCTCCTTTACACAATTACGTTTAATTCAATCACATCATTTTTTTTCCTGTATACTACCTCTATAACTCTAGAAGAATCCTTGATAGATATGATAAAACAATCCGAGCATATCAATCATTATTATAAAAATTCATAATTGAGTAAAGATACAACTTCATTGTTGTTTCGGGGGTTTTTTGGATTTCCTGGAATACTGGTCACGTTCTTCTGGCCACGAGACGGTCCAACCTGCAAAACAACGAATATTTCGATCAACGGAATATTCTCCTCCGACGATCAAGTCAGTGATCAGAACGGAAAAGGGTAGAGAGAGAAAGTAGAGAGAAGTTGGAGCTATTTAATGCTCTGTTGTTTGTAAATGTCTGAATCCACCCCTCCCATCATAAATGATTGGGGTATTTATAGGGGTGGGACTCGTGCCCCTTTTCTAGGGTTTGTACCCTAGATTTGCGTGGCGTGATTGGCTGCGCAATCAGTGAATGCCACGTGCTACTCTGGGGGCGCCGTTTTGCGGCTTTCATTGATATCTCTCGGGATTTGGGCCCTGACGTTGTTAGGGCTTTCTGGCATGCTGATTTAAAGAGGGAACCCATGCCCTAAACACGTGGCATCTTCTCATGGCGACACGTGTCACCCTCTGACTGGGCCACGTGTCGCTATGAGATTGGCCCGAGACCTTAAGGGCTCTGAATTGCGTGGCATCTTCCCGTGGTGACACGTGTCACCCTATAACTGGGCCACGTGTTACTATGGGATTGGTCCACGTATGCGCGGTATTTTTACCCTCAACATTTGCCCCTAAGAGGGGGTGGCTCGTACGCTTACAAGCCGACTCCTCTAACCTCAAATAGCCTTGGTGCGAACAAGTGTATTAGGGTCTTGTCAGTTTTCTGTCCGCCTAACGATTTTAGAGTGAACGCCTATCTATACAAATAGCGCGGACGAAGGTAGGCCGTCTCGCTTTTGGGAGATGCGCCTGTCTTGCCATTGCGGTGGGAGCTTTAGCTCTACCAACTTTCCTTTGGACGCGTCGTTTATTAGGTCATCTTCTTTTCCGCCTAATTTAACGGAGTTGCTCCTTATCCCTCCAAATTCTAGGTCTTATTTTCAAATTATAACCGTTCAGCTTTGTTAGGCGGGAAAGATGAATTTACTGTCTTATCCCCATAAATTTTGCCTATATATACAAGGGGTTTGACTTCATTTTTGCACTTTGGAACTTTACATTTTCTAGAGAGAAGTCAGAGCTTCTAGAGAGAGAAAGTGAATTTTTCTTTGAATCTTCGAGAGCTCCGCCGTGCGTTTGAGCTTTCCGGGCACTTTTGTTGAGTTTTCCGATCAACCTTCAAGGCTTCCAAGTTTTCAACACGTACAGAGGTAGGCCGCCTGTTTTCTTTTCCTTGCATTTTTATTTCTTTGTTCATTTAAAATCTGGCTCAACACTCGACTTCGTCCGTTTCTCCTCATGAGGCCGGCCGTTTGCCTGGGACTGAGGAGTCTAGAGTGGACGGAGACGAGTTGTCTCCTTCATGGAATGGGTCCATTTCTAGTGCGTACCAACTCACATCCACCCATTCTTCTCTGTCCCTGCAGTCGAACATGGCACAGACGATGCAAACGTACGATCGTCATGCGGTCAGAAATCAAGACGGAAGTCTGGTGAACCCTAGGCCTCCTTATGACCCAAATAATGCTAACTTAGAGACCCCTTCTACCACTCCTACGACCGCTTCCACGGGCATCACTGCTCGGCCGTGGAAGTAACTTCCTCGTTCGAGGAGCGCCAAAGAACCCAAGGCGCTTCTACTACGGGGGGAACGTCCGGGCGAACTCCGAGGTTTAGGTTCCCCCAATATACCAGCTCGGTCATGGATGGGGGCGAGTTGCTACTCTGTGAAGGACCTCCTTCTTCTTCTTCTCGGGCGGACGCTGATACGTCCATCCCCACCCCCTCAGAACTCTTTCTCCAATATAGCAGGTCGGACAGACCAAGAACGGGGGTTTCAATTAATGAACCGTCCGACCTGCCCCCTCGCAGAGCACCTCCTACTGGGAGTCAGGCGGTCGGTGCCAAAGATAAAGGCAAAAGGCCACTTGAAGACATAATCTCTCCCCGAGGCGGCCATATTTCTAGGAGCCGTAGCTCAGCGGAGGCGGCCGATCTGGACAGAGTGTTGTCTTCCGTGTTTAGGAGCGCTCCTCAGCGAGAGGAGGATGAAGTTGAGAATGCGGCCGAGGGTGGAGCGGCGGCCGTAGAGGGCGAAGAGGCGGCCGAGGAGGATGTTGCCAATATTGACAACTTCAAGGATTCGTACGCCTGCACAGTGGGTAACACAGCCTTGGGCTACCTGAACTACAAATTTGAGGATTACAAGGCATTCCTCCACCTTGGGGAGGGATTCGAGATTCAGCCCCCACAGAAGTCCCGCGCCGTGGCCGCTTGGGAAGAAGAGAGGTCGCGCCAAAGATCCTTTAGCGTCTATAGGGCGGCCTTAGACGTCAGACTGCGCTTCCCCCTCCATCCTTTCGTCCGCACAATCTTGGACGAGTATGACATAGCCCTCTTGTTGGGGTTTGGTGAGTCCAACTCACCGCGGAAACAAACCCAAAAATAAGACCGCACTCGCAATAAATAAAACCATAAACATAATTATATTAATCACAAGATTAAGATAAGCTAATTACCTTTGACGCGTGCTTCGCTCCAAAATGAGCTCTTACTTGAAAGCTTCAAGTCCCGCTCATACGGAGACCTCCAACGAAGTCCACCCGCACCAACAAAACCGACTAGGTCCAATGTCTTGGGGTTAGCAAAACCCGACCAATAAAACCCGAGTAATTATATTGAGTTCAAAGGTTTTCACTAATTGTGATGCCTTTTTCAACTCTTACTCAAGCATCATTCCCAATGCCCATACTTGGGTAATTATAGGAAATGATGGGAGTATCATTTACTCTCCCATCAATGTGGGATAGTATGATTTTTCCATTTTATTTTAAAGCTAAAATAAAATTAATAATTGTGGGGAATAGTTTCAAGCCTTATTTAATCCCACTAGCTTGAACCCCACTGTGATCATACACTAAAGTACGGTGGCATCCAAAAGGAAAGAAGATAGAGCAAAAGAGTCGCCAACAAGTTTTTAAGGAACTTGTAAACCATCACGAGGTGAAGGTTACACCCCTTAACGATCCAAGAGATCGTCAACTCCATAAGGTCATGAACCAAATAAGGGTTCGGGGATGATGGTACAAATCCAACCTAAAAGAGATTGAACCTGCCCTAATAATAGGTCTCTACTTTATTCTGCTCGTATTCATGTGCGCTTTCTGACTAACATACAATCAAAACTCTTCTTTGCTATGCGCACTTGTCCTCCTCGGCTTTTTGAAACAGCACAAGTTTCTTTTGACTTGGCCCTTCGGGCTTCTTTGGAGCGCATTGTAACAGCTTCGGGGCCTGGCTTTGGTGATTGGCAATGGCGACTTGCCACCTTACCTTTTTCTTATGGTGGTTTGGGTGTCTATTCAGCGGGTGATGTTCGGCTTTATGCTTTCCTTGCATCGCGTCTGCAGTCTTCTGGTCTTCAGGCTACGCTTCTTCGCCATTCTGGTATTGTTGGTCCGGGACCGGCCTTCGATGGTGCTCTTAGTCTTTTTAACAGCGCTGCGGAGACCGACCTTTTGAGTAACCTAATGAGATCGCTGCCCCTAAACTCATGAAAAAGTTGGCAGATATATATTTCACGAAGGTCACTGCATCTGCGGATTCCACTTTCTCCTTAACTCCGCGTCAGGTAGCCTTACGGAAGTCCCAACAGGGGGATCACTCTTCGGCCTGGTTGCGGACGGTCCCGATATCGGGTTTGGGTCAGACTATGAATGGTAAGACTTACCGTAGTGTTCTTTGCTACCGGTTAGGTGTTCCTTTGTTCTCCGTTTCAACACCGTGTTCTGCTTGCTCTAGGGTTTTTGACGGGGATATTTATGGGGATCATGCAGTGTCTTGTGCTGGGATGGTGGGTATTAAACATCGGCACAATGTTGTTCGTGACACCCTTGTTGATATTTGTATTCGGTCTGGAATCTCTGCTCGAAAGGAGGTTAACATTGGGTTGATTGGAGGAAACGACGAGGCTCTACGACCTGCAGATGTGCTGCTTTATTCCTGGGATAGAGGCCTTGATGTATGTGTTGATTTGACGGGGTCTTCACCTTTGACACAATCGGGGTTGTCTGACTTCGTTCCTGGTCGTGTTGTGTCGGCGGCGGCTCAGCGGAAGCGGGACAAGTATGGGGCGCGTCGCAGGGCTATTGGCTATGGTTTTCTTCCTTTCTCCTTTTCTTCGTTGGGGGAATTAGAGAAGGATGTTATTGCGTTGCTGAAGCGGGTTCAGGCGTTCGCTAAGACTCAGGATATTGGTGCTCGTGCAGCTGCTCACATCTTCAGCAGGATTGGGTTCGCTATAGCTAGAGGGGTGGGGGCCCAGATTGTATCTCGGCTCCCTACCAATTTCTTGTAAATTGATTGACTCTGTACGTTTTGTTTTTAATAATAATAATAATAATAATAATAATAATAATAAGTGATGATCAATAATTACATCAACAAAAAAAAAAAAATTTAAAAAAAATTAAAAAAAAACCCATTTGGTTTGAAAGAATTAGCCCATTTAGGGTAATGGGCCCAACCCAAATTACACCCATATTTAGCCCATTTGAAAAGTAACAATTTGAACATAGTGAGGTCGCAAATAAAAATACTACCTCCGATTCATATTACTCGCAACAAATGAGTATTATTTGTAAAATATAAAATATTCATTTTTGTTGCGAGTAATAAGAATCGGAGGTAGTATATGAGTTTTTATATATATACTCTGTAATATACATAGTATTTGACTACTTGTAATCAAATCATATATTTCATGAAAGTGAAGGCGATTTCTTTTAAAAGAGAAAATAAGATGAATAGTTACCGATAATATCTACCGTAGTCCTGCCATTAGTAAATCTTCCAGTGGGGCCATCGGGAAAGTCAATCCCATAGGGTTGGAAATTGGCCTTGGCTAATGTTGCAAGGTTATTGTTATTACCACTATCTGATAAAGAGTCTCCAAATATAAAGAAACAAGGTACTTGGGGTGAGGCCAATGGGGGTTGTCCATTAACCCAATTTAGATGCAAGCTTGCTACTAATATTGCTAATATCACTTCTAATCCCATCAGATTAATTCTTTTTGAGGTTTGAAGAAGCTTGTTTGTATAATAAGAAGGCGTGTAACAAAGGTGTATGAATATAGTACAACCCAAAATAATGCATAGTGAATGGAAGCAAGTTCCTATTTATAATCCTAATGACAAAATTAATGTGTTTTATAGCAAGTAATTAGTAATTTAGAGTTTCATCACCTTAAAATGTTTAATTTGAAGTTTCATTTGATGAGTTTAATCTCTTGCATTTGCTAACATTGACCGTGCTTAATTACTGAATAAGTATTGTAATTACTCCGAAGGATTTATTACTACTCCACTATATAACTTTCTTTTGCTTTATATCAAGTATTTAATTATTTATATACTCGAATTTTTGTAAAAATTACACATCTTGCTTGTTGTTGTAGCAATGGAAATCAAGAAAAATAGAAGATTACTGAAAGTTGTTCAAATTTTTGTGTATTACTCCGTATTAGTGGTTGGATAAGACAAGGTAAATCAGAACATTTCTTTGAATCTTTGTCGTATCAAAGATAAAAGCAAAACTATAAAGATTGATAGACACGGAGTAACACATTTAAATAGGATAGTACCAATTAGTCTAAGGTGCACCCTTGTGCACCTTAGATAGGTGTTACAACACAGCCCAAAAGCCCAATTACACACAACCCAATTAAGAAAAGCCCTAACACTAAAAAAAACATGAAAACTGCAATACACCCAATACACCCACCCACACCCAATAAATGTAACGTCACTTCCAAACTCAAAACTCTTCTTCTTCTATATGATTTTCTCTCTCCTCCTTTTCACTTTCTCTCTCCTCTATTTCATTTTATCTCACTAAAAAACTGCAAAAATATCAATGGACATTAGAGAAGAGATGCAAAATCAAAATCATCCTACCTAAAAAAAGACAATTTTATGTAAATTTCACTTAATTTTGTTTGAATTTATATGATTTTCACTTAATTTTGTTTGAATATTATTCGAAATTTTTTATTGGAATTATCAAAAAAAATTAGTGAAATCAAACGGATACCTAATGTTCACATTTTGAAATGCATATGTTCATATTTTGAATTCTTATGTTCATATACTGAATCCTTTTGTAAACTTTCTGAAATGCATATATTCACTTTCTAAATCCATATGTTCATATTTCTTATGTATATGTTCGATCACCTTCTGAAATGTTTAATTATGTTCATACGCATTAAAAAAAGAACCAATGCATATGTTCATATTTTGAATGCATATGTTCATATTTTGAATACTTATGATGCATATGTTTCATAATCATATTTATTTTTGATTTCTTCAATTTTTTTTTTGTTCATAATTAAATGCCTTATATTCATAATAATATTTTATATGTTCATAATGTAAATATTCATAGTAAATATTTATTGTTCATAAATATTCTCATTAAGTCTGTTTATGCATATGTTCTATTTCTTAATAGCATACGTTCATATTTTTTACGCATATTTGAAGAACCTATGCATATGTTCATATTTTGCATAATTATGTTCATTGATTAAAAAAAAAAATGCAGAAAATCAGATGAAACACATATGAAATTGATCAAAGCTAAAAAAATCAATTTATATGAATACAAAAAATCAGATAAGCAACCAATTCCACATTGTAAGGAACAAATTCAATCGTTAAATCAAAACAAAACGAGAAAAATAGAAAAAAAAACAGAGGAAAAAGGAATTAAAGACTAAAGGAGAAAAAACAGAGTATAATTTGTGAATTCAAAGATTCATATAAACCTTAATCAATCGAAATTAAAGCACAAAATCAAAATTCACAAAAAAATTCATACTTAATAACTACTTTCATGTTGTAAGAAACAAATTCAATCAAAAATGTGTAAAAAAGGGGGAAAAACAGAGGAGAGAGAAAATAAAAAACGAAGGAGAAAAATAGAGGAGAAGAAAGCTAATGTTCACTTTCTCAAAGGCTAATGTTCATATTGTGCTGTTGTTACACCTATTTCTAGGTGCATGAGTGTGCACCTAAGAATATGTGGGATAGTACAAAAAAAAAAAAAACACACACACTAATTTAGTGAGTGTCCTTATTTATTTGTTTAGTTATTATATTTACTCTTTGCGCAATTTTTAATAATGTAATATTGTATTAAAATACTTCAAACTATATATTACATAAATCCTATACAAAAACTACATATTTAAATTACAATTGAGACAAATCTAACAAAATCCAACATGACTATATTTATATTTAAAATTTAGAATCCATTAGTATTGAAATTTCTAAAATTTTTAAATGTGACAAATTGACAACCAAATTGAAACGAAGGGAACAATTTATATTGCTCCGTCATATTTTATTGTTTAGATTAGAATTGAATTTTTAAAAGAGTTTGAATATCTTGATTGATTTTCTTGCATTAGTTTTGACTATGTAATTAACAACAGATAGGTATAGTATTGTGGCAATTTATAACACTCTATGTTTTAATTAATTACAAGTAATTGACTATAAGTTTGCACTGCTTTAGTGCTGTAATTAATATTTAACCATTTTTCTTGCATATGTTAACTTTTGACTATGACCTAGAAGTATCAAATAGATTATGTTGCACTTACTCTATGCCTAAACAAGTGTTTGAATTAATTTAGAAAGTAGGACTAACATTAACACAAAATTATGATCAAGTTGTACATGTCGAATTGGGCTATTCTAATTTAGACAATCATGGGCTAGCTAAAATGGGGATTTGTGTTTAGTTGAACCAAGTATCATAAGGTGATCATATATGACCTAGCCTGCTGATTTAGCCCAAAAAACTGCCTGAATTTGGGCATATTTAGGTTCAGAATCATGACTTAGGCCAACCCCACTTGATTTTAATTTTATTTTTAGTAATTATTTTGGTCATCTTGAAAAACTTGCTATTGTTTTGCCCCCAATAGTACATGATTTAGGTGCAATTTTTTTAGCCCAAAATGAGCCAACTTTCTTTGGCAAAACTCTGCCTAGCTGATCACTGCAACTTTAAATTGATTTGCTTATTTCTATGCCAAAAAAAAGGTGTTGGATTGGAGCACTCACACTAGTGAGCATAAAAAAAATGTTCATCCTCTCTCTAGCCACTTTCTCTCTTTACAAACCCATGAGCATTTTGGTGAGCAAAAAAAAAATGTTCATCATTCTCTCTCCTAATTTTTCACATACCCCACCAACATTTCTCTCTCTTACACATCACCATACTATTATTTAATATATTTTGTTTAAATTATATCCCACTAGGGACATGTGTCAGCTCCTTGATGGCTCGACTGACGCGCCCTGTCAGTAAGTGGGATTTAGTTTGTTTTTGCTTCCCTGACTTCACAAAGATGCGTTTTGGGGTATGGTCCCTTTTGTGGGCTTCCCAAAACGAGGCGTATTGAGGGTGTTTGAAGCATAAAAATATCGCCAGTTTGGAGAGTTGCTGGGCCCCACGTAATTACTGTTCATCCTCAAATTTGCTCATAGGATGAGCAAAATCAGAAATGCTCATGAGCATTTTACAACATGCTCATTGATGGGGAACCATTTCTACCAAATTTGCTCACCATTTTTGCTCATGAGCAAAAAAATGCTCACTAATGTGAGTGCTCTTAGCAACCATTTAGTCAAATTCAAGTTCAAGTTAACTCTGGTTGGATTCAAAACATTATTGATCTCGAATTTATCATATCATCAACTGTAATTTTAGTTAGGTTAAACCTTGTTTTAATTGCCATCTGTTAAATACAAGTCCAGTTTGTACACAAATCGAGTTCAAAATTTCAAATTCAAGAGCCAACACAATTCCTCTTATAAATTAGATCAAATTCTAGTTGGTTTCACTTTAGACAACTCACTTTGCACATCACCAAAACACCAATTCATCCATATCACCCAACAAAGCCACAAAAATAGAAAGTCCATCCCACACAATCAGCCCATCCAACAACAACAACAACAACATTTCCTTCTTCCCATTTTCCACCCTTCTTCTCTTCTTTCTCTCAACTTCTCCACCTTTCTCTCTCCTCAAAAATGTCAACCAAACCCTTACCCACCTCCACCACCCCAAACTACGGCACAATCCCCACCACAACAACCACCACCACCTCCACCCCCACCACCTCCATCGACTCCTTCATCACCCGCGCCACCCACCACACCCAAACCCTAATCTCCCACCGCCGTCCATGGCGCGAACTCCTCTCTCTCTCCTCCCTCTCCCTCCCCACCTCCTACTCCTCCGCCATGTCCCGCCTCCGCCGCAACCTCAACTACTTCCGCTTCAATTACTCCCTCATCATCCTCTCCATCCTCTTCCTCAGCCTTCTCTGGCACCCCATCTCCATGATCGTCTTCCTAGCTGTTTTCGTTCTCTGGGTTTTCCTCTATCTCTCAAGAGATGACCCAATCGTTGTTTTTCATCGTTCGATTGATGATCGATTTGTTCTTCTGGGTCTCACCATTGTTACGATTCTCGCATTGGTTTTTACGAATGTTGGATTGAATGTGTTGGTTTCGCTTGTGATTGGGTTTTTTGTTGTTGGATTACATGCTGCGTTTCGAAGTGTTGATGATTTGTTTCTGGATGAAGATGATGTTGCTGATGGTAATGGGTTAACTGGGTTTGTTCCTGGTTTTGAAGGTCAGCCTTTGAGACCTACTTACGCCAGAGTTTGATTTTTTATTTTTTTTATTTTTTTGGGGAATTGTAAATTTGATACGTGTATAAGGATGTTAACGAGTCGAGACGACTTGAACTTGAGCTTGGATGGCTCAGGTCGGGTCAGGTTTTAACACTTTTATTCGGACTCGACCTGAGTCTGAATGGGTTCGAATTGTTTTGCTTTGTGTTTGGGTTAGTTTTTTTTTTTAATTGTAGTGTGATGGTTGAAAATGGCAAGTTTTTCTTATGAAGTTGTACATTGGAAATTTGTCAGCAATTATATGGTTTAAAAAAAAAAAAAGAAAAAAAAAGAACGGGTTCAACTTTAGCTATGTTGTTGACTTTGCATTGTTATGTGTTGTTGTTGATTGCATAAAAAAATATGTTAGATGTTGAAGTACGGCAATTAATTTAATTGCGATTAAAGCATCACTAATCTGTGATAGGTTGATATCTTATCCAAATACTCCACGTAATTTGTGTTGGTTTATTGGCGAGTAAAATATAATCCTAAATTTAGGTGTTAGTTTTTTAATACAGTCATTGTCATTGAGGTTGCAAAAGGTGCTGCTTAAATGATAATGAGCAAGTGATGTTAAAAGCAGCTAAATTTCTCTCTACTTAGGTCTTTTAAGGCTATGAACTAATTTTTAATTTTGTGTGGTTTTAGTTGTTACATTATCTTAACCTTGCTCGAATCAGGATGTGAAATGGGTAGTAATCGATTCCTCACCTCTCGAAGACATTCCTATACTATTGTAGGGAATTTGGTAACTTTTTCGAAGCACCTAACACCTTAAGTAATGTACATGGCTAATAATTCCGAACGAAAGAAGTACAATGTGACCATCATAATGCAAGCTCTTGTTTAGAATTTCGTAGAGCTTCGACTATCATAAAAACTCAACCATGCAAATATACAATCAAAAGATGCACATCATTTTTTTTAGAGAGTATATTGCTCACAGAAATGGTTTCTGAGTTTGGTTGACAATTTGATATTTACTTGAAGACACAAAGTACAAGACAATAAGCCAAAAAACAAGCAACTACAGGTGTTAGAAACAAAGCAAATCAACAAAGGAAAACATAGCAGGTCCTACTTATGTTATAATGGAAATTAAGATAGATATGAGAAAACCCAAAAAAAAAAAAAAAAAACCTTAGTAACGCTTACACTGTTTGCAAACATGCAATAAGTCTTAAATTAAACTGTTATAAGCAATAATGTGGAATAAAATAGCACATAAGTTGAGATGGCCGAGTTGGTCTAAGGCGCCAGATTAAGGTTCTGGTCCGAAAGGGCGTGGGTTCAAATCCCACTCTCAACAAAATTTTAATATTTTTAATGAATTTTCCTTTTTTTTTTTTATTTTTTTTTATTTTTTATTGCGTTAAAAATTTAGGAGGAAACCATTTTATTATACGTAGTACAAATCCCACTCTCAACAAAATTTTAATATTTTTAATGAATTTTCCTTTTTTTTTTTTATTTTTTTTTATTTTTTATTGCGTTAAAAATTTAGGAGGAAACCATTTTATTATACGTAGTACATTTTACAATACCTCATAATAATGAAAATCCAGGCTTCAAATTTGGTTGACAAAAACTCGTACTACTACGGAGAACTTTGTATGTGTTGCAGAGTAGTACTACATCTTAAACCTACAGTAGCTCACACTCTTTATATTGATTACAGATTACTCTTAACTCTCGTATATTGGTTATTGCTGCAGGATGCAACTATGCTCCAAGAATTTTATTGCGTTGGAAATATTATGAAATTGCGTTTAAAAAGAACAAAACTTCAAATTTTGTAGAAATTATTTTGTTCTGTAGCTGTTAGTTCCACACTTCACAGTTACATCTGAATCTCCAACTTGATTTCTGACTTCTCAATCTATGTTCATTTTTGCTACACAAATCAAGAGTTAATCACGAAAAAATAAAAACAAATTTTGTAAACGAGAACATTAGAATAACTTCATAGCAAACACCACCTAGTGAAAAGTAGTCGAATCCACAAATCCTGTAAATTAAACCTATGCTCTGAGATCGCTGGAACTCCGGCGGATTGCAACAAATGTTGTAAATAAAAAGGTATAGCCTTCACAAATAACTACCCTTGCTCAAATTAAAGTGATCACTTGGACACTGAATCCCCCAAGAGGGGATAATAAGGTCAACAATCTCTTTACTCTTCCTCTAGATTGATGGAGTCCCCAAACTTGCCATACAGGATCTTCTTTAAGTCAGCCATTTGTGCGGTTATAGATTCCTTTTCTTCTTCAAGTTTCTCCAAATTTTTTTCAGTCAATTCTTTCATCTCTTCTAGCCTAGTTTCTACTTCTTCCTTTGGCACATGAGCAAATACCTCCCCAATTTGAAAGCGTACTACTTCCTCATCAGTCAAGATCAGCTCGTTGCTTGCATCTTCCAAATTCTCACATTTATCCTGAGAGGAAGTCAGATAGCAAAAATAATTAAGGAGAGGAATCTAACATGTGTAATCACGATGGAGAATATAAATTACAGTCAATCAGTCAACTACGGAATACAATCGGAGGATGCAATGAAGTATGAACTGGTCAAAGAACAAAACACTGTCCACATTCAAGTTGAATTGGGGCTAGCCTCTCTCTATTAACTCATTTAGTCAGTTACAAGTCACAACAATTCCCTAGAAACAAAAATTTATCACACGGAGGCTTATAATAACCAAGAATAACATTTCCAAATCTGTAGAAAATAATTTCTAAGTTCTACCAAATTACATTAGGTACTCTAAACAGTTTATACTCTTTATAGGCCATTGAAAACACGAATATTGGCCATACAGATTTAGAGTCAGCTGTTTGTAAGGAGCAAAGGGAGAACAGAAGGAAAGGTAATTTCTGCTTTGCAACAATCATTATATTAGGAATTGGAGCAGAAAATTGGCATCCCTCGTCAACCCATAGAAAACAATAACATTGGTTGTACAGATTAGTAGTGCTGTTGTAATTTTATAGCATTTCTGTTCTTGGCAGTACAACTAGCAGCAAGGAAGAACAAAAGGAAAGGTAAATTTAAGTTTGCAGCGATCATTACATTAGAGATTGAAGCAGGAGATTTGGCATCCCTCATCAACCCATCCCCTGCCCCCCTCCCTCAACACACCAAAGGATCCAAACATTGAAAAGAAAGAAAGAAAACAACAAATGCCTACTACAGCTTAAATAAACTTCTAGTCCATTAATTTATATAGCATCGTTATCAATTTGTTATCATAAATACCTTAACACCAGCTAGCCAGCTTACACAGTAAACACATCTGAAGCAGAACCGCTAAACAAACACTCACAGTTCAACATGTAAAAATCAAAATTACATACAAGCTGCCTCCAAAAGTGATTCGCATAATATAGATGGGCAAGATGGCTCAATTTTCAGTTACCTCACAGGTTCACATACAAGCTCCCCTTAAAAAGACTAGACAAATAAACACAACATCCTTCTGAATGGTTGTCAGTTATTCTAATAGTGCGTTACATACCCCAAAATGACAGTATATCTCACCTATCATGTTATCTATGCAATACAAAAATGTCTAATGTAGTATTAGAAGCAAATTCAGCAAATAGCAATGCTATTATCATAAGAATCCTCAAAGTCAAATAGCAAGCGGATTATTCTTCAATATTAAGATTAACTACGATACGACCTGTCACAACTTATCGGTTTCAATAACTACTTTAAAAAAACATAGCTCGAATTTATGGACATGGCATCAGAAAACATACAAAGTAGACAAATTTTCGCTTTTGCCCTCAACATCCTTCAGTTCATAAAACTCGCCCTAGTCTTATTCTAATACTGAAACTGGATGACAAGCTAAATTAACAAAGTTGACACAGTTCTAATAGTACTATCTTTTAATCAGCCACTACCTCTACAACCCGCAGGAGTAATTACACCCAAAAAAAAAAAAAAAAATCCTAATTTTACAAACCCTACAGCAATTTCCAAGTTTCCTTGCTTCAATTAATCTACAAAACCTAAAAATTATACTACCATAAAACTCAAACAATCAATCAATAATTATTACAGTATTTATAAACCTAAAACACATTATTAAATCAAATAACAAATGCCCAGATCAAATTTGTCCCCAAAATTCAAAACCCAAATCCGAAATTTACACAAAAATTAGAATCATAAAATAAAGAGCAAATATGAGGCAAATTGAAAGGAGAGAGAAACACCTTGAGGAATTTAATCTCATCAATTAGCTCATGAAATCGATTATTGAGTTTACTGAACTTATTGATATTCTGCTGATCTTCCCAAGTAACTTGGGTCTCTGATCCTGTACCCTGAAATGCAAAATTTCCAGCAAAATTCAGACACACAAAAATCACCCAAAAAAATATAAACCAAAAAATAAAGTACTAATTTTAACAAAATAAGAATATAATTTAAAGGGAAGATTTACCTGCTGCATATTTTGATGAAAAAGTTGAGAGAATGTTTGAAAATTTTGGAGTGGTGAAGTTTTAGTAAGATGGATAGTTGGAGACGATTGCAAATTGGCAATAGAAGGTTTGATTGTTTGAAGGACTAATCGTCCAAGTATAAACCCGGATTGAATATAGTGAACTCCGTCTGTATCGGGTGGGCTTCCCACTTACCATTTTTAGTGGGCTGTCCAATTCATATTATCATACTTTTTCGGTTTTTCTTTTATTTGCAACGGTTTGACTTTTTACATTATTCACCTACTCAAATATGACCGAATTAAATAATTATAATTGTAAGGGAAAACTTAGTCATGTGAGATGTTAGATTTGTCTTGATTAATGATTTCATTATATACAATTTTATAGTATTTTCTTATATTGGTAATTAAGGTTATCTGCGATTAAATGCATTGACAAACATATAATGTAAAGTGTTGAAAATAAAAAGAAACAAATGAAGTATATTGATGGGCGATAAAGTTTAGGGATACACTATACTACGGTAGACTTTTGGATTGACTTGTCCATACAAACGCTTAGGGTATAGAGCCCCTTGGGAACATGGTATTTTCCTAGAAAGCTTAATACGTAAGATCTTACTATTGGTATGTCAAACTAGATTAATAAAGTTAAGCTGAATTGAATTGAATTGAATTGAATTGAATTGAATGGGTTGAAATGAACATTTGAACGTAACCTATTTAAGCTTAATATATACAACTGACGTGAACTTAAGATTATTAAGAGCCAAAATAATTGATACAAATGCCCAATAGAAACAAAGAATCCAATATTCTCCAAATTTTCTAAACAAGTGGTGCTACGCGTCTAAGGAACACGCCTGACAAAACCCTTAAAACAACCAATTTCGAGCCTTGGTTTCTCAATACTAGCCATCTCAAATAGCTAAACCCACTGGGTCGCCGCCATCGATTATTTGAGTGGGTTGTCTTGCTCCTCAATTGTCGACGAACCACCCCAGGCCACTGAGGTGCCAACGGCAATCTCTCGAGCGACCTGTTCACTAGCGCGCTATTCTTCTCCTTTAGTAGTAGCAATCTTTTGGGCTTGTGCTCTAGTTCTTAGTCTGATTTCACGAACGAGCTATGAGGTTGAAGGTGGTAGCTTTGTTCTTCGCTCTTTTGTTCTCCAAGTATGACAGAGGGTTGAAATTTTGTGTCTTGGTCTGTCGAGAAATGAAAATGATTTTGTTTTTCTATAGAACCTCGCCATATCCCTTAAGTTAAACCTTGCAGCTTGCGCCCTAAAGTTTCGTGATTATGAACAAACTAAAGGTTCGTGAAATGATTTTGAATTTTTAATGGAACTTCTCCATATCCCTTAAGTTAAACCTCGCAGCTTGCGCCCTAAAGGTTCATGATTATGAATAAGATAAAGAGCTCTGCTCTTTAGTTATCATGCTTGATGGTAACAATACTAAAGCCCTTTACAGAAGGGCTTTAGCCAAAATCAATTATTATCAACTTAAAGAGGTCAATGAAAACCTTGGCAAAGCAGCCAAGGCGAGATTAATAATTAAGACATCCTCCGTGAGATGGAGAAGGTGGAGGGACTAAGAAGAAAAGTTAGCAAGCTCAAAGGTAAGAGAAGCACTTAGGAGTCTGACCTGCCCCATGCTAGCTTCAACAAAAAGGGGAAGGTCAGCAAGCATTCAATCAATCAAGAATCTAACAGGTTGCTTAGTAGCAAAGCTCAGAATGAGGTTAAAGATTTACTCTAGCTCCATGGACGCTACTTATATTTTCCATTTGTCTTATTTGGATCTCAGCCGAGGGAAAACCTTGAGTTTCTTCAAATATTCTAGTGTTTCATGAATGACTGTATGAGTGAAGGAAAATACCACCCAAGATGGGAATCACATATCTCAAAAGGAAAAGGACTCAAAAGTTCTAGAAAAGTTGTGCATGCCAATTAGGATGGCCGGTTCGGAGAAGAGGAGTCGTGCCAGAAAGAGCCAAAAGAAAAAGGCCAAGCGACCTATGGACACAACTGTAATAAGTCATGTTGTTGGATGACTGTCGTTGAAAAGTTAGATGATCATGTATCTACTAGCCTAACTTCTAGCAGCAATGAGGGTTCAAGTATCGAGGAGGGGAGCGCGGTACCTGCGAGAACTTTAACTACCACTGATAATGCTGATGTAGCTAGAATCTGTAGGTTCTAACGACAAAGACCCCATGAACTTTGAGCTCGACCAGGTGCAGTCTTTGCCACCATCCTCTACCTTCACGTTCATTGCCACGTCAAGGAAAAATGAAAGGCCAGAGGTGAAGAATAAGAAAGGAAAAAGGTACTTTAGATTTTGTTTTTGCAGGATCAAGAAATGCATTAACTAGTTTAAAACATATGGCCAGTATTGACAATAAATCTTCTCAACCACAACATTTGTTTTGTCAAGTAGTTCACTATGTTTGTACCCCCCACTACTAGAAATAGGCCTATTTCCGACATACTGGTTCCGACGTATAAGTAATTTCGTCAGAAACATCGGAAATTTTGACGAATTTTTAATCCGTCGGAAATTTACAACGAATTTTAACAATCCGTTAAAAATCCGTCAAAATATATGGGCTTTCCGACGGAACATTCGGTCGGAAATTTAACTTTTCGACGAAATTAAAATCAGCACCAAAACCCTAACACATCTAACCCCATTTCATTTTAACCGTTTTTCTCTACTCCTTCCCCTATTCATTCTCTCTCCTCTTATCTTCTTTATTGGATTTTCCCGTTCCCTCTCCTTTCTTATTCTGAACCTTTTCCTTTTATTTCTCTCTCATCTCCGCCTTCCTCCTTCCTCCTCCCTCCTCTTTTCTCCTCTTTCTGTTCTCCTCCTTTTCCCTCCTCTTTCTGTTCTCTTCTTTCCTCTCTTCTCCTTCATATTTCTCTTGTCATCTCTCCTCTTTCTCGATCTTATTCTCCTTCTTCGTCCGTTCGTCCATCTGTTGGCGCCTCGATAAATTCCATTGTTGCGTTGCATGATTTAAAGTTAATCGATTTTGATTTTTGTAAGGGTTTTAAGGTCAAATTCGATCATCAAAACTTTAGATCTGGAGTTTTTATGGTCGAATTTAATCTTTACCTAAATTAGGTGAAGTTCGAAGCTAATTTCATTATTTAAGGTATGTTATGGTGTTTTTATGTTATTTTGTTTTTAAGTTTTTTTTTTTTTAAAAAAAAAAAATGGGTTGTGGTGGTACGGTGGTGGCTCGTTGGTGGTTTTAAGGTTGTTGTGGGTGGCTATGGGTCATTTTAAGGGGCTAGATGGGTGGGTTGATTTAAAGGTTCGTGGTCTGGGTCGGTTGATTTAAAGGGTCGTGGTCTAAGTCGTATGATTTAAAGGGTCAATTCTTTGGGTCGTGGTCTGGATTTAAGGGGCTAGATGGGTCAGTCTTTGGGTCGTGGTCTGGGTCAATTCGAAGGTTAGGAGGGTGGGTCGGTTTTAGGGTTAGGTGGGTGATGGCTGTGATTGGTAGTTTTAGGGTTAGGTGGGTGGGTCGGTTTGGGTGAATAGGTTTGGGTCAAGGTCAGTTAGGGTAGTGGGGCTGGTGGCGATGGTGGATATTTCCAAGTTTTTTTTATTACTGGCGGTGGAGGCTGGTGGCGCTGCTGGACTGCTGGTGGTGCAGTGTGGTTTTTTTTTTTTTATTTTTATAGAATGATTTTCCGACGGAATTTCCCTCGCAAATCTCCGACGGAATTGTGTCCGTCGGACATTTTTTACGGATTTTTCCGGTGCCGGAAAATCCCTTCCGACAAATAAATTCCGTCGGGAAACTGGTTCCGTCGGATTTCCGTCGAAAAGGTTGTTTTCATACCAAACCTTTTCCGACAAACGCTTTCGACGGAAATTTTGTCGGAAACCCTTTTTTCCGACGGATTTTAGGGTGTTTATGACAGAATTTTTCCGTCGGAAATGAGCTGTTTTCTAGTAGTGCCCAATCTTTGTTTTAATTATTGTATTAGTATTATTAAGAGAGTTCAATACTCTCTCTATAGTCTCGATTCAGTTGACAACTAGCCTCCTTTTTATCTCCAAACCCTTTTGAAGAGCCAGAATGCAATACAACAAACACTTCTCACCTTCACTTCAAGTTCAACATTGGACAGGATTTGAGGTGTTATATCCAAACCCAATCTATCATTCTGGATATCCGTCTTGTCGGGGAATGTAGGATAATGATAACTTACCCGTGTAGGCATGTACTATAGATATACTTACAGAATCACTTAAATATAATTAAGCTTTTACATTCTCTCTAAACTTTTTGACATTCAATAATCTAGTTCTATGACTACTAGAAAATTCCTGCCATATATATATATATATATATATATATATATATATATATATATATATATATATAAATGAGTAGACATGAGCTCGCCACGTGTCATCATGACTAGGCAAATGATGTGGCGCCATGTCATTTCTTGAGTAATTCTTATAACTCCCAATTTAAGAGGAAGTTTAAAGTGATTAATCACCACCATTATTCTCTTGATAAGTAACTCTCATAACCTCCCATTTAAGAGGATGTTTAAGGTGATTTCCTTGATGCTTGAGATTCATCTTCTATATTCTTTCATGTTTCTCTGTAATAGAAGAAGCCTTTTTTTTTGTTTTGTTTTTCTTAAACACTTGAAAAATACATCAAGCACAAAATTCTAAACAAATTCTTTATTGGACATAAGACCATAAGTTACTTGACTCAAACCTACATTCCAGAAGTGTCTTTGTGTAGAAGTGGTGCGTTAACCTTAGGATTCGTGCCAACGAATACAATTGAGCATCTTGGTTGCGTCGGAAATTCGTTTTCAAGTAAGTGAATTGCATTATGATGCACATATATTATTCCATTGTTTGTGAGATTATCTTTTTTATCTTATTTAAATATTTTATACTGGATGTACTAGACTACTATTCCTGTATTTACATCAAATGTAACTAATTTAATCTATAGATGTAATTTATCACATAATTTTTATTATAAAATCTCATTAATAATATACATATAATGATCCGGGCGTTACCCGGGCCAAAAACTAGTTAATAATATACTCCCTCCATCCTCGATTGATAGTCACTTTTGCCATTTTTGGTGACTTAAAATAAAATGTTAGTCGCATTTGCTTTTTTCAAGTACAATTAATATTATTTTTTTTACCAAAATTCTCTAACATTTGCAAAAATATTTGTGCAAATTTAACCTTTCCATGTAAATTTTACTTTTCCATGTATTTTAATTTCATTCTCTCTCTATTTTTTTGCATACCCAATGTAAATTTACTTTTTCAATGTATTTTCTTTATTTCTCTTTAATTCCCGTAATTTTTTTTAGCAAAAGTGACTATTATCAATTGGGGACGGAGGGAGTGTTTCGATGCACAACTTTCACGGTTTCAAGTCATAATAAGCTTGACTTTAAACACTAACCACCATGCAAAACGTTTTTAGATTATCTTTGATAAGTTTGGGTGAGATTTCCATAAAGAGAACGTGATCGACTGATTGTCTGGTCCTACTAAAAATAGCAATGAGCAATTATTGCACACATATATATTTCATTTTTAATAAGGCCTAGGACCCAAAAGACTAATCAAACATACGTAGTAGTAGTTGATACTGGAATATATATTTTATGTAAAGCTCTGCTTAAATATTCTTATATAAATTCGGGTGTAAAATTAATAAATACTGGAATATAATTGAAGCTTGAACAATCTTGTGTGCAAATGGCGGATGAAAGTCTCGAGCAAAGGCTTATAAACGAGCATCAACAAGAAGAAACGTTTTCTAAGAGAAACAAGGCTAGTTTTATTACCTTGCCATTCATCATAGGTAAATTAACAAAAACTTGTACGGAGTACTTCATTTTAATTATATGTATATCTTTACATATATTTTTTTTTTATTAGTAATCACCAAGAAACTTGCATTAATTAGTTTTGCATGATTCTGTTGTTCGTAACCAAATATATAAATTGTTGGATAATATTGGCAGCAAATGAATCATTTGAAAAGGTAGCAAGTTATGGATTGACGACGAACATGATAGTTTATTTGATGAATGATTACAAGATGAGCTTAGCCAAAGGCCAGAATTTGCTCTTCTTATGGACAGCTGCTATCAATTTCTTGCCTATAGTTGGTGCTTTTGTGGCCGATTCTTATCTAGGCCGTTTCCTTACTATTGGTGTTGGTTCAATCTTCAGTCTCTTGGTAAGTTCATCTCTAATTTTATGTTCATCATATAATAATACTCTTGATCTGTTTATTGTTGTTAATTACTTCAGGGGTGTAAGTTATTCGGATAAATCACATTGATATTTAAATTGGATCTAATTGAATAATTAATTTTGATCAGACTTTTGTTGTACTACATACGTGTAGTATTGATTGATTATTTGTTGACTATTCTTAATTTCTTATTATCATGTCTACTAACTTTTTCTTTGTTGAGCAAGATTTATTTCCTTGAGGTTGTCAAAGATCCAAAATTTATTTCCTCTTGAAAAAAATGATGGAGAATTGGTGTTTTGTTTTATTATCAAAGTTGTGAACTTTCTATTTTTTTGAAAGAAAACTGTAATTAATTTTCATCAAATGGGAAAGTAACTCGCAAGAAAAAAAAGATTAGAAGAATTTTGAAATCGGCCGAATTTAAAATACGTATGGATTATTCTATATTGAAATCAAGATCATTTTCTGCCGTAGAAAAATCTTAATTAATATTTCAAGATAAAAAAGTTCGTTAATGAATGTAGCTAGTCCTTTAAAGCTAACAATTCACAAGTTAGATCCGCCGGTGATTGTGGGTGGTGGAACCACCACACAATGCGGTCTTTGTCAGATTACTAGCAAGATGGACATTGTTAGGTTGATGTTAATGGCTTGCTAGGGAGTTTGTGAATAATATTTGTGATACGAGTAGTAATGAATTAATATGAAAGTTTGTGAGGATTGTCGTCACTTGCCAATTTCCAATTTCCCATAATTTAAAACTTAATCCATTTGACAGTGTCACAGTATGTGCGCATCAGTGCATATCGTATCCAAAATTAAAAAATCTAAATTATTTGTTAAAAATATCGTATCCAAAATTTAAAAATCTAAATTATTTGTTAAAAATATCGTATCCAAAATTTAAAAATCTAAATTATTTGTTAAAAATATCGTATCCAAAATTTAAAAATCTAACTTATTTGTTAAAAATATCGTATCTCTTGTATTCAATACAGTACGGACTACATAGTATGACAGCTTAAAATCAATCCAGTGACGTGTAGTACTTCGTACTCCGTATTTACTGTGTAATTATTATCAACTTACAACTTCTTTTTCCAAATTGATTACTCCGTATTTATTTATTGTCTGCTCTGTACTGAACTGAATTGAACCGGACTAAAATTAAATTGAATTGAATTTTTTATGAGAGAAGAAAATTAGGAACTGAACTAAACTAAACTAAGCTGAACAGAACTAAACTAAATTAAAATTAAGCGAAAGAGAATAGGTCCCAAATCTAACAAACGTGAAGTTGTGGTCTAGCATTGGAGTAAAATTGAAGCTTAAATATACTCCCTTCGTTTTTTTTTGTTTTTGTTTTTTTTTTTTTACTTGTACCACTTATAAATGTGTGGAGTTTTAGGAGAATAAATTTGGTATAATACTCCATTCGTCCCTTATTTACATGTCTATTTCCTATTTTTCACAAAAATTAATGAACTTAGAGATCCTTAAAACCCATAATTAGGAAGTACAAATGTGCATGAAGGGGTAGAGAGAGATAGAGAGAGAAAAAAATGTACTCCTTCCGTTTTTAAATACTTGCTTCATTTCTCCATGCGCGGAGTTTTAGGAGAAATTAGGGAAAATAATAAAATATGGAGGTAGTGGGGTTGGTGGAAGAATAAAAAAATTATCGAAAACAAAAGTAGTTGAGAGAATTGGAGGAGAGAGAATATATATTGAAACCACTAGGTGAGAGAATATATATTGTAAAAACTTTCCAAATAAGGAAATGGAGCAAGTTTTAAAAACGGCCGCAAATGAAAAGTGGAGCAAGTATTTAAAAACGGAGGGAGTAGTTGGTAATTATTGAATAGATAGAGAGGTAAAGTGTTGGAAAATGAGTCAAAAGTACAAAAAATAAATAAAAAAACATTGATGACAACTCATCAAAAAGAGGGAATATAGTAAAAGTATATTCTTTTTACAGAAGTAGACATGTAATTTTGAACTCCACAAAAGGAAAATAGACGTGTAATTGTAAGGGACGGATGAAGTATAAGACTCTCTCCAATGGTGAGACTCAAGTGAGTATTTTTAGGAGAGAAAGAGTATTTTTTACAATGTATACCAATAAGTTGGTATATAAGCTTAGCAACTCCAAAATAAAGTTGCTAAGTTTAGATACTCAACTTTGAATCTCTTTTGCCAAAAAATGTGGATCCCTTGTCAATATTCTAATATATTTTATAATTTATTTAAGTTTTACCTTTTTCTTTTTTAAAATAAATACAAATTAGAAAACAACTCCTCACAAAAGAAAAAAGAAATGGGTTTGGTAGGCTATAAATTGAAAGTGATATTTGTATATTTTAGCGAGTCTCACCATTGGAAAATCAGACTTCACATGAGTTGCTAAATTGAGAATTGAGTATAGTATCACCATTGGAGGTAAAAAAACAACTCATTTTGTATTTCAATACCAAAACTTGAGTCTCACCATTGGAGATGGTCTAATAATCTGAGTGGATGAATAGTTTATTATGGTATAAGTAATGTGGTGACTATGAAAGTAAAACTTTGTGAGAGAGTAATGGTGACCATGAGAAAGAGAAATGATAATAACTTAATTTGAGTGGGGTCTGAGTAAGAGAGAAAAATAATAAAATATAGCATAAAGTTATTATTTATAGAAGACTTCTATAGTTCTATTAGAAGTGATGTAAATAAAAAAAAATAAAAATAAAAATAAAAAGAAAGTAATGTATATAATAAAATAAAAAAAAACCCGAAGGGAGTACTTCCTTAGTTTTAGGGTTAATGTAACGATTGAAATTTTGTATTACTCATTATTCTTGTTTGACATTAAATTATAATTTATATGTTAAAAAAAATATAGTTATATGGGGTCTTCTTGGATTAGTCTCAAAATATACTTTCAAATTTTATAATTTTTACTGTACTCTTATGTAATTATAGATACTTGATATTTAACAAATTTCCTCCGTATCAAATTAGATGACAACACACTTCTTTTATCATGTCAAAAGTTCATTCGAAATATATCTTTAATTATATTATTGTAAAAAATAATAAAATTTAAAATTTAATTAAATGCACCTTGAAATAAATCTAACAAGATTCCATTTGACTATTTTTTTAATAAATTTTATTAAAAACCAAAAAACATGCTACAAAAGCATGGCAGTACAGACCAGCCTACAAAACACCAGCACCCCAAAACAAAGCCTGAACACAGGACATCACCAAGAGCCTACACTAACCATCTCCTCATTTCTTCATTAAATTACAAGCTACATTAAACATGACTCTGCTAATTATAGCCTCTTTTACTTCTGAACTTCTCTTGAAAACTTTGGCATTCCTCTGCAGCCACACTTGCAGCCACACTTGATAAACGGTCTCAGTAAAACACATTGTGTAGAGCTTAGCTTGAACTGTCACTTTCCTGCTCATCATAACAACTAGTCTCAACTATTCCGTAAAATGCAAACTGCTTCTCTGTAATCTAATGGCCTGAAGAACTCCATTCCAAATCTCAGCTGAAAAATATTAGTCAAAGCAAAGTTAATGAATAGTGCCAGAAGTCAAATTGTGTCATCTAATCTGAAACGGAGGAAGTATAAAGTATGTTTTGGAATGCATAATTTCACCTTGTTGCAACATTACTAAAAGGGATCGGAGAAAGTATTACATTGGGTGTTGAGCCCATGAACAACCCACATGTGAGCATGTGGCCTTAATGGCTAAGGTATCAGAGCCAGACCCACGATTGGGGCCTTAATGGCTAAGGTATACTGGGTCACAAACACTATGGACAGCTCACATGTGAGGGGGAGTGTTGAGCCCATGAACAACCCACATGTGAGCATTCTCTTGTCCCACACTAAAACACTAAACACGAAAAGGGGAGTGTAGTGGTAATGAAATCCCACATTAAAAGAATTTGAGAGTTACCACCACTATATAAGGCTAAGGGGCTACTTCCCTCATTGCCATATGGTTTTGAGGTGGAACCTCCTTGGTCTTGTCAAAGTGATGGACTTGCACTCTCCCGTGACGGGTTCGGCCAAGACCCGTATTTAACATTGGGTAATACTCCGTAATATATACTGTAACCCATTAAGCCCTAGAGTTCTAAATATGTATTTGATATATTTTGGCCTGATGGGTAAGGATTAATTAAAATCAGGATATTCTTTTTTTGATTTAAAAATGAGATTTATATTTTTGTGGTTACATTAATTAAATTTAATGCATGGTAACCTTGAAATTGCAACTAAAATACGAATACACATAATGAAATAAGTGGTTTCTTTTGAGCTAAAAATATTTTGTATCTAAAGACCAAAGCAAACTATAAGGCAATTAGATTGTTGAAAACTAGCTAAATTACAAAATGGTACGAAATCCAAACAATGGCAACCACATTACATTTAAATCGCATGTATGTAATTGACACTTTGTATATAGGGCTTAGATGTAGGAAAAATGTATGAAGAAAGTAATTTTGTTATGAATTGACAAAAGACAATCAAGCATTATTACTGCTTGTCCAAAGTGAATTATTATTATTTTTAAAGCTCCTTTTTATTAATTTAGAATCAAAGTTGAAACATATATAGTAAGGTCCTTTTTCTTCTTGTTCTAGGAAATCTTATTCACACCCTCCGATCCTTTTTGTTCTTTCCATTTGAAATCTTTTCGTGTTCCAATTTTAAAAAACAAAAAGGATCGAAAGGGGCAAGCAAGTTTGATGAAAGATAAGGTATGTTCAGTACTTATTTTTATGGTGTAGAATTAAATTTACTTACCACAGGGGATGATTATGCTTTGGATGACAACAATAATCCCTGAAGCCAAAACCACAGCAGGACCGTATGCTCTCCTTCTGTCCTCCTTTCTTTTCATAGCAATTGGCGCGGGTGGTGTTAGACCTTGTTCACTAGCATTTGGAGCTGATCAAATAGACCAAAGAGAAAATCACAAAAACAGGACAATTCTTGAAACGTTCTTCAATTGGTACTATGCTTGTGGTTGCTTTTCTGTTGTAATCGCGATGACAGTAATTGTGTACATCCAAGATCACTGGGGTTGGACAATTGGTTTCGGAGTTCCAGTAATACTTATGTTTTTATCAACGCTCTTCCTCTTCCTTGCTGCTCCTTACTATGTGATGAATCAGGTAAAAAGAAGTCTGTTTATCAGCCTAATACGAGTTGCTGTTGCTGCTTTTAGAAACCGAAAAATGAATGTACAACCTCTAGGATCAAGTGTTCATCAGTACTATCATGAAAAAGATTCGACAGTAATTGTCCCAAGTGACAAATTAAGGTCAGTTTCTTTTATCATTATAACAACAATTGTATCTCCAACTTCTATTTTAGCCATCTAGGCCTTTCAAATCTGTTACTCGCGCCAAAAATTTGTGAAGAAATCGATATAATCTGTATTTGATCATTATTGACTTTAGGTGCTTAAATAAAGCTTGTATCATTCAAGACCGCGATCAAGACATTGGTCCGGATGGCCTGGCCAAAAATCCATGGACACTATGCACGGTGGAGGAAGTCGAAGAGCTCAAGTCTCTCATTAGAGTCCTCCCAATTTGGTCTACAGGGGTGATAATGTCCATACACGCGAGCCAGAGTTCATTTGGTCTGCTTCAAGCGGAATCCATGGACAGACACCTAGGGCCGAACTTTGAAGTTCCTGCAGCCTCATTCATAACATTCTCAACCATTGTTATTGTATTCTGGATTCCTATCTATGATCGCGTACTCCTCCCCTTAGCGTCGTGGATCTATGGAAAACCCGTTACCCTTAGTGTCAAGTTGAGGATGGGAATAGGGCTATTCTGTGCATTCATGTCTATGTTGGTTGCTGGAATTGTTGAGAATGTAAGAAGGGAACGAGCCATTGCTCAAGGATTCGTAGATAGTAATGGACAGGCAGTCCTCATGTCCGCATTTTGGCTAGTACCCCAATATATCTTCAGTGGTCTTGCTGAAGCCTTCAATGCTATCGGGCAAAACGAATTCTTCTACACTGAAATGCCGAAAAGCATGTCAAGTATAGCAACTTGTCTCTTTGGTGTAGGAATGGCCGTTGCAAACTTGTTGGCTAGTTTGATATTTAACTTGGTGAATGATATAACCAAGAGAGAAGAAGAGAGTTGGGTTTCAAGTGATGTTAACAAAGGTCATTATGACTATTATTATTGGTTTTTAGCTACAATATGCTCCTTCAATATGTTGTATTATATGATCTGTAGTTGGTGTTATGGACCTGTTGCAGGAGAAGTTTGATAAATTATTCACTGTATTTACCAAACAAAATATTTGGAGTTTGGTATGCAAGTATACTGATAAATGTATATGTATAATAATTGGTTGTATTACTTGTATATGATGAATAAATTATCATATTATATAATACCATACATCCTGTATTTTGACCAAGGGATGTTTGGTATGTGGGAATTAGTGCTGAGACTTCCAAGTGTAGTGAAATCTCATATTTGTTGCCTTAGCTTGTAGTTATGTAGAAATGGGATATATAAGGGGAAGAGAATTGAGAATAATAGACGCTTGTCTATCTTCTCTAAATTTTATAGAAGGAAATTGGTGATTACATAGTACCTTTGAAATTGAGAAAGTGTAAATAGTAAGTTCAGTAACTTGTCTGTTATAGTTATATAATTTCATTATCCCAAGCTCTACTCATTTGTAGTTCTATTCAATTACATTTATGTGTGTTCAATACGTGATCATTAATATATCTTAGTATATGTTACTGAAAATTATAGAGGATGCCCCAGTTTCTCACCTGACATTTTCGTAAATAAACCAACAACTTTATTCAATTGTGGAGCCCACAATAATGAAAAAGTTGTTTCTTTATTCACGAAAATGTCATTTTTACTCACTATGAGAAACAGAGAATTTCCCAAAATTATATAAGTGAATTAGCAAATAGGGGTGCAAGACTTAACAGTTAACATGTAATTTTTTTTTATTTTTCAAATACAAGTACAAGAGATATGGCCAAAGTTTTTAAATTTTCTTACCACATAATTTGTGATGAGAATTAAGGAAAACGGAGTAGTATAAACAAATACGGAGTATAAATTATTTGAGAATATATCATGTACTGTATCACTATGAAATTTCATAACACATAAAAATCGTTACTTCTAAAGGACCAGCTTAATTTTTTAAACACTCAATGTAATTTTGTCGTGGATTGTAGGATCTAGATACCAGTTCTTAAACAAAACAAAAGAAATCCAAAAATCAAGATCAAATTCCCATCCTAGACATTAACCAAAGTCAACGATTTGTGGTAGTAGAACTTGAAAAAGTTACACACTTACAGCAGCTAATAACATTAGAACAAGTACAGTATAATGTAGTATTAAAAGACTAAAAGAGAGTATACTCTCTTATAGTCTTATAGTCTTAGAGTCCACAGACGAAGATAGCCAAGCCAACCATAAACTAATTTTAGCAGTAACCACAAACACGCCCATTGTGAATGTCAGCAGAGTGAGGTGAAAGGATAAGCGAATCAGCATTATAGAAACATCTAATAGCATGAGAGAACCGTGAATATACCCATAACCCAGAGGAGTAAGAATAGAAGCTTGTAGATTTATTTAAATTTGATTAAGAATTTGTTTAAATTGATTGGAACACAAATGAATATAATTAACTCTCCAAGCAAATGTATTATTTTGTCTTACGAGTGAAAACCCTTGATTTTGTCCAAATAAATTAATACGTTTACAGATTATGAATTTCAATAGGAAGAAAGGTAATTGCATCGACCTATATGGCTGCATGTATAAAAAGTGTGATTTGTTTTAGAAAATTAGACATGCGCGTTAAGTACTAACCTTTTTTTTTTTTTGAAAGACGTTAAGTACTAACCTTAGAAAGAGCATTTGTACCAATTTTTTTTTTTTGGTTTTGGTGTTCAGAGAGCCATATGAGCAGGTGATGGGAATCGATCCCAAGAACTCTTGAAATCAGAAGGAGAGATTTTTTTTTTTTTTTTTTTTTAAATTATACTTTGTTTTGTCTTTGTTCATTTCTCCATTTCCACAAAAATGTAAGATTCTGCCACTAAGAAAATAAACTTTGTAATGTAATTACTAACCTTAAAAATTATAAAGTTTTGTTGACTCCTTTGATAATGCAATTATACTCGTACTTTTAAAGTTTATTGCAATGCAAGTTCTCAATCTTGTTAACAAGTTAATATAGAAAAGAGATAATGAGAGAACAAGAGAGTGTTATGTTAAATTGTGTGGAAAGAAAAGAAATGAAGGCTGGATCTATATAGGAAAATAGCGAAACAAAAAAATTTCTTAAATGGGAATAATTTAGGCATATACAATAATTTACTTCTTGAATAACATAATTGTGTGTATCAAGTCATCACGATAAATACTTTACATCATACTTAAGACCTATTCTGATTTACTGAACTGAAAAAAACTAATTGGAGCTCAACTGAACTGAATATTTTATGAGATAAAGAAATTAGGAATTGAACTAAATTGAACTGATTGAAGCTGAACTAAAAATAAACTGAAGAGAACATGCCCTTAAAGTCTAACTTACGCTTGACTTAGCTTGTAACTTTCATTCATATTTATAGTTATATATAGTATGTGCTAGTATTTATTCTTATGCTCGATCTACAGTTAAATTAAAGAAATACGAGTGTATATGTTTAAAAGAAATACGAGTATAATTGTTATGCACATGACCCACCCTTACAAAAGAAAGTCCTTAACGATTAATGAAACAAACAATTACATGAACGGATTTAATTATGTTTTAGTGTAATGAAAAAAATGGAAGGTTAATATTCGGTTGTGTTTAAAATCATGTTTGGTTCAGAATTGGATAGAATTAAAATTTGGCAAGGTTCATACTAGTTTGGTTCAAACTAATCAGATTATTGAATTGGGTATTCGTCGGATTAATTTCAGAGGTTGAGTTTAGGTCGGGTCCAACCAGTTTCGTTTGAACTTAAGTCGAGTAAAATTGATTTCGGGTTGAGTTCAAGTTGGGTCCAAATGATGTTGAGTTAAGTTCAAACAAGGTCAAATTCGGATTTTGATTAAGTTCAGGGCGGTTACACATCTTGTTTTGGGCCTAAATTTCTCATGTCAAATTAGGTTGACAATTATTCAAAACGAAATATTTTTTCGGATCATCGAGGTCGCTTTTGGCACCTCAAATAAAACAACCTTAGCTTCACGCAATACTGTTCAACCAGGAAAAAAAAAAAAAAAAAAAAACATCAAAAGCGTTTCTCAATCTCATATGCCTCAAAATTTGAATGAATTGATTTGTTTGTTAACATATTGAATAATAAAATTTAGAATTAAACACATACTTTTTTTGTGAAAAAAAATTATTAAGATTATCTAAATCATGGTCCAAAAAACTTGAATGATTCTTGGATTTTGGATAGCCAATACATAGGAACATTTTCATGCAATTAATACCAAGTCATTTATATCTTCACATGATTTGAGAGTGCATTCCATAGTAGAAAAAACGTGAGCGTCTCATTCCATAGTGACGTACACGCAAAAAGATAGATTTTTTGTGCAAATGTCATCGAATCTAAATAAATCAAAGCATTCATTATATCACAACAAAAAGAAAATTGAAAAATGTAATCAATAAAAATGCTTATTTACCTACTCTAGGGGGTGTTTGATTTGGGTTATTCAATAAAGGGTAATTGAATGAACTTATTCTCTTTACCTTATTTTTACATTAACTTTCCCCCACAATCATTCCCCAACTTGCTCCCCCTCCAAGGATTTCATCAAAGGAAATGACTTTTCTCCATCTACCGACACTACTACCCCTAAGCACCTGCACCAAACAGCCACCCAGCCATCCCACCACTGACATGTTGCCTTACCCAACACTAGCCACCTACCCCTAAAACTATGAAATTTGCCCCACCCACCACTCAACCACCATGAATTTCACCCTACCCTCCTCTAAAAACATGAAAATCACCCCACCTACCACGAATTTCACCCCATCCCACAAAAGAAAAAGAGAGTGAGAGATTGAGAAGGAGAAGCAATAGCATCGCACGACCAAAATAAGTGGGGGGGGGGGGGGGACGGGGATTAGCGGTGAAGGGAAGAGGTGGTGGTTTAGAGGGAAGGAATGGTGTTGTAAGTTAGAGTTTCTATTTGTTATCTTTAAAACAAATAAGCTTGTAACTATAAGGGTATATCTTTCCATTCCCTTTTCCCTTTCTTAAACTCTTTCCCTTTCCCCTTCTCAAACCAAACACCCTGTTATAGTATATTTAATAAATATGAAAGATGCATGTATTTAAATATGTCATGTACTAAGATACTTTCTTGAATTTGTCTTTGAAAAATTGCCGCCAATCATGTAAAATTGAATCGGCGTTTCGCAAGGGACCGTATTTGACCTTAACTCCAATTTATTGGTTGAACAAGTAATCACTTTACTTATTTTGTGGAAAGCACAATTTTGACTTTCTTGTCCATACATGTTATCATAATCAAATTTATAAGACAAAAGCTAACAAATGCTCTAAGGGCATTGGATAAGATAACTAAAAGTAGAAACATTAACTTGTAATAAACATTAATTATACCAATCGCCATGTGACTTTGGCATACATTCCTAAATTAATACCATTTTTGGAATTATTTTAACGGATTATCTAACGCCTTGATGAGGGAGTTCGTTAGCAAGATCTATTTTATAATGTTCTACACTTCTATTTATACATGAAGTTCCATTACTTGGATTTTTGTGTCAACAAATACAAATTAGGAAAACTAAAAATATCGTAAGAGCATGAATATCAAAGAGGATATATATCCTCTTGTATGGTACTTTTGCTGATTTGGAGTAATCCTCTTTGATGTTAGGTAGTATAGAGGATCCTCAAGGGGAAGAGGATTCTCATTCATCCTCATCTGGTGAAGGATTATTCACCTCGTCCTTTGTGCCAAAGAGGATGGAGCAAATCAGCCAAAACCCACCGTTTGAGCAATTTTAATGGACAAACGGCGACGTTTAGATGATAAAAAAAAAAGAAACTGAAAACTTACTCACATATGACAGAAACTTCAAAGTAGCAAAAACAAGGGCAACGGCTAGAATTTCAATTTGGCCTCCAATTGCTTGACAAGTGTCAACCTTTTATTTGTTTATTTTTAACAAAATTTTACTACCTCAAAATATGTATAACGATAATTAGTGAAAACGGTAACTTATTTTAAAAAAACTGATTTCACCAACGGCTTTATTTTTTTTTTCTCTCTATAAAATGAACCTAATTTTTGCCATTTTTTATGCACTTTAATTTTTTACCTTTTTTCACTCCTTCCTCTTTTTCCTCTCTTTTTATAATTTTCTTATGTAATGGATGAAAATAATCATAATTATGGAAGAAGTAATAATTTTCCAAATTCTCAATACAATTCAAACACTCCCCCTTTTGATCCAAGTATATTCAATAATCCACAATTTCAAGCTGCTTTGCAATGATTTGGTAGCCACCAAAGACCTATAAACCCGAATTATACATCCCAAGTTCCTCACCAATTTCATGGGGGTTCACCTTCACAAAATGTCCCATTATTTCACATGTCTCAACATTTTACCCAACCCATGGATCAATCTCCAGGAGTAAATGTTAGTAGCACTACTTCTCCAACAGAAGATGTGCGGGAAGCGCAACATCTAGAAGATCTCGATGATGATGTTGTTAACATTACTGGAGAAGACCCCAGTGATAAAAAAGCTAGTGCATGGAGTATAGCTGAGGATAAGACGCTTGTTTCAGGCTACATCAATGCCGGTGGGAATGTTACCATGAATACGAAACGAACTAAAGCCGGTTTATGGGCTGCAATTAGGAAGTTATACGAAGAGGCACGAGTAGAAAACCTTGAAGAGATAAGTGCACAGACCATTAAGTCCATGCAACAACGTTGGGATTTTATCAACAGATGGGTTTCAAAATGGGTTATGGCGTACAGTTACATCCTACGACACCCGAAAAGTGGAAACTCAGGCGGAGACGCTGTCCAACGTGCCCATGAGTATTATGCAAAACTCAATCATGGAAAGCACTTTACTTTGATGCATTGTTTGGAAACAATGCAAAATTTTCCTAAATGGGACCCACATATGGTCCAACAGCTTCCTTTGGAGAGCGAGGGAAATGGGACACGATCCGAACCAGAATCACCAAGTGTGGGTGCTGGAAGAAAGCGGCCTATGGGCATAAAAAAATCAAAGAGTGTAGCTGCAGAAGGTAGTAATTCTTCCACATCGATAAACCTTGAATCTTTCAACACAACTCTTGACGAAACTAGTGATAAGCGGCTTGATCAAGGAGAACAAATGATCGACTTAATAAGTAAAAGGAATAAAAAATATTGTATCCTAATTTCGTGTGTTATTGTATCAAAATATTGGTAAAGTATGGTAATTTTTATTTTGTATGATAATTATGGAATACTAATTATTATTATTATTAATGTTGTTGTTATTATTATTATTATTAGATCTTATCAATAACAAATAATGAATAATAATATGGTGGGCCATATTTATAGTATAAAATATATCAAGAGGATACCCTTTGATGTGGAAAAAATAAATGGAAGAGGATGGAAGAGAGGAAAGAGATAGTGGAAAATGAGGTGGATGAAAGAGAGTGTGAGGTATCAAAATAGGGTAAGGAGAGAGAATTGATGAGAGGATAAAACCATCCTCTCCAATATTCATGCTCTAACAATCCTCTTTTTATAGTCTTTAATAATACTATGTTTAATTGATGCCAAAAAAAATTATATCTGTCTAGAAATTTGTGAGAAACCTTACTATGTATCATCTAATAATTGAACTTGTTTTTGTCTACATATGTATTGTTAAGAAGTTTAGTTGTTGAACTGAAATTATTTTTTACTAAATAAAAATCATACACTGAACTGATTTTTTTTTTTTTTTTTGCAAATAGGTAATTTGTTAAAATTGCTAATAGTGTTAGCACTTCTATTATAAATAATGCAAATTTTTGGCCATTTATTTACAAGTTTGCCATTGATAAACATGTCATGTTTATCAAAAGGATGGACTTGCCCCAATTCACCTTTATGATCAACATATTTTGACAATATAGTGTTTAGTCATAACAGATTAACAGCCAACTCAAACATGTGCTTCTTCCGCTGTTATTCTGCTAATCACCAACAACCATAGCCAAGACTGTAACTCCATTTGTTAACGCAAACAATGGTGTCTAAGTTGTTTACTCAATTGAAGCTAACACTGACATCACCATCTTCTTCATGTCCAAGCTTCATCTATTAAACCGTCCAACAACACCACCATCCCTAGTGGCGAAATTAAACGAAAATTATATGAATAAAAGGTGAAATTAAGGGCTTGGTCAAACCCAAAGGGTAGGAGTGACCATTTGATCTTGAAATTAATAACCTAAAAAGCTTGCCATTGTTGAGAGAGAGAATGAGTGATTTGGGGTTGCCAGTTGAGAGAGAGAAAGAAAAGGAGTGATTTAGGGCTTAACCCTAACCAAACTGACTTTTGGTAGTGGAAAAATGAATTTTACCAAATCATTTGTTATTTTTACCAAAATGTCCCATATTAAAAGAATGCAAAACCAAAATTGCCCCTAAATTACGGTTTATGATGAAGATCAACTCGTATTAACCCAAAAGGATCAACAAGACAACCCTCTTAAGGTCACCGAAAAAATTGTACTAGATGTCAAACTGAAGAAGGTGAAGAACAGTAAATGGTGTTCAGAAATTCCGAGTTAGGAATTTTAGGTGAAAGAGAAAGAATCTCCTTAGACCTCTTAAACCACAATTCTGAAATATAGGCTCAAATGGCTCATAAACAGCCTCAACTTTTTGCATGCCAACTTCCTTGACAGACACTAGACGACATCCACTTTGGATTATGCCAGCAGCCATGTAAATTCAACAACAAAATTATAATCATTAGAATAGATGCAGGCAATTATAGACAAGGCAAATTGACAAACAAGAACAAGAACAAATTGGCAAGGCAAAAGCTGCAGCTGTAGCAGCAACATCCTTGCGAGGCCAGCAGGTGAAGATAGGAAGGAAGCGTGAGCAGAAGGGGAGATGTGTAGAAAAAGTAAATCCAGAAATATGACCTATACTAAGGAAAGCATAGCAAGGAAATTAAAATTGACAAAAATGTACATGTACTTTAAACATCCAAATAGTCAAGCTCAACACCTTCTCATTCAATGTATATGCTTGTGCTTAAATCAAAATTTAATGGACTACATAGAATATAAAACGAAAATATATATTCTATGTAAATATTCAATCGTTTGTACCAGTAGCATCGGCCACCAGTTATTGTTTATTTACCATATTGAATCAAAAGTTCTAATGCAATCAACTATCAGAGTCATTGAATAAATTAAAGACAAAGCTCACATGACCAAAGAATATTTCAAGCTAGTACCACCAGGGCACCAGACTATCGCACCAGACTATCAGCAACATCATGGTCCAAAGCAAATCAAGCAATTTCAAAGTTGATGATTACAACTCAAATTATCATTATTATCCTAAATGACATAGATACTTTCATTCTATGCTTGTTATAAAAAATTAAGCTAGAAATATCGAGCTAGTTTCTATATTTTCAGTATGAATTGGTAACCTAAATTTTATCTCTTTCTAACCCAAATTACTTTCTATAACTTCAATACAACATAAATCAAGATCATTGAACTGCAGAAACATCAAACAACAAATCATCAAACAACAAAACTAGCATTCTTGTCCTGTTATTAAGCCCAAAAATTGGCACCACATCTATTGCCAGAGAATGAAATTTCTATGCAAAATAAATCATATCATAAATCATATATATACAACATATAACATTGCGAAATCACATACTTTTATTTCAATAATCTAGCATTCCATAGAAGAAAACTAGAAAATAGCAATAACCAACAACAGTAACCAACAACAATAACAATAACAATAAAAAGAGAGAGAGAGAGAGAGAGAGAGAGAGAGAGAGAGAGAGAGATAGAGAGAGACAGACAGACAGACACGGAAATTAATCAAGAAAGAAGAAAGGGAAATAATGAGAATTGAGCTTTAAATTCTGTAAGTTTTATATTTGGTTCAACAGGGGAATGAAAACAAACTTCACCAGTCATAACTAAAGTTCAAAGTTTCTGCGTCTAAAAAAAAAGTTCAAAGTTTCACCATCTTCAGCCCCAGCACCACCATCTGGCATCGGAAGTTCAGGGCCCAGACATGGCCAAGCACGGAGAGAGAAGCTACAGCATACAGGTGATAATCAGCCGCCACCATTGATCTTACTCACCACCTCTCAGAATTGTCAAGTTGCAGAGTATGTTCAGGAATTTCAATATCTTACAATTCAGCAAACTGTTCACATGCTTCCAAAACAGACAAGAGTCAATAATTTAAATTTATGGATCAGGAAGTAAATATATAATTTCAAGATTGACACAGCAAAAAAAAACACTTCAGACCTCAGTACTAGTTGCTTAAAAGCAACTGTGCAAAAAGTAGTCATTTAGCAAGATTTCTACCTCTTGCTACACAAAATATATGATGCTATGTATAATAAATTGGCTATGGTTCACCTGTGTTGTGTTTTTAACATCATCTCCTTCATATTAATTATGATAGATAAAGCAATTTACTACTAAGTCCTAATATGCTTCCACAATATACAAACTTTGTCAATGTTTAGGAATAATGGAGCAGATAACATCAGAAAGCAAGCATACCATACAATAGTAGTAATGACCAAAACTTGACAGCTATTTGGAAGCAACCATATCAGTAATACTACACAGTCAATAAAAATAAAAATAAAAAAGACAACCTCACGCTGAGATTTACACAGGACATGTAGAAATAAAATACCTACAAAATAATGTACTCGCTTTGATTATTTTAAGTTGTGATGTTAGCATCATTGTCTTCATCATTAAGAGAAGTCCCAAAGGGTGAGATGAGACTTTCAACATGCTGGTGTACTGCGAACACAGACTCATCAAAATCGATACCATGGAAAGGTTCAATATCTTCTACAGCCGGGTCAACCAACTTGAGCTGTCGTGCATGTTTAACCAAACACTTGCCACTTGGGGAGAAATTCATCCACAAGGGGTATAGTACACTACTGCAAGGGACTGAGAACAATTTCTCAAGGGAATTACCATCACTCTTTTGCTTCAATATCCAAACCTCGCGAGGCTGACCAATCTTATAGCGATATAGTGCTAAGCACCCATTAATCACAGAAGACATAATAACAAGATCACCACTTCCTGGTAATGGTATTTCTGTTATTTGTTCGTCAACAAAATTACAACAGATAATACTCTTTGTGCATCCAGCATTTCCCCATTTTCCAACGGTCCAGTACAGAGTATCATTAATTAAAACCCTGTCCATTTTAATGAACTCAAAGGGTTCACATCCATTATCACATGATAAAACAGAGTATTTCCACGCTCCAGCTTTCAGCGAGAACACCCAAAGACGGATGTTTTTTGATAATATAGCACTTGTGGGGATAACAGCAACTATCATATAATCATCGATAGCGGATACATATCCAAAACCACCTTTACCCATGAAACCATCAATAGGGGACAAAATATTGTGATATTGATGAGTTGCAGGGTTCCACAAAGAGAAAAAAAATCCACAACCGCTTTGACAATACAAACATACCAAGCCATTACAACAACCAACAACAAACACTAGATGTGGCATACGATGTCTTACATGAGCATCTAAATGAACTAATTCTTTCAAATTGTTGGATTCATCGTAAGATAACGAGTAAAAATTAAGCTCAAAACCTGGCATACCATCAATTATCAGAAATTGAGGAGCAGAAAATGATAAATCAAGGTGAGATTTAGCAAATTTGGGAGTAGAAATAAGATAATACCAATTCTTGCAAACAGATTTGAATCGAATTAGGGATTTTACCGGAAGCCTGGGTAGAATTTGCACAAAAATTAGGTCATCTAGAATGGTTAGGGTTATGAGAGCCTTCATCCTTTCCTTAAAGATTTGTGTTTCACTCATATTTGAATGAAGTTGGAAATTCTGTGTATGCCCCCTTTAATCTTTACTTCCTAACACTGGAAATGGTGGGTGTGGACTGGTGGCCAACAGTAACACTTCATAAATTTGAGGGCTGACATTAGAGCTCACAATCTATCTATCTTTATACTACGATGTAAACAAGCAAGTCGACGTAAGCTTAATATGTGTCACATTCTGATTTGCTTGTCTTGTATGGAAAAAAATACTTTAAAATATTCTGAAAATTGAATATTTGACGGTATAAGTTTGTTTGCTATTTTCAGCTTATAAAGAAGATTTATTATGATTCTAATATATGGAGCAGTTATGAATGAGATCATTTTTGTAAGCTAATACTTCCTCCGTTTCAAAATAAATTTCCTAGTCTGACTTTTGTACTATTCACATGCACCACTTTGACCAATTTTGTACCTTATACATCTTATTAAACATAATTAAGTGTGTAGTTGTTAGAATCGACTCAATGTAAATTTTCTTAATAATATTTTTAAAATCATCTATACTTATTGATCTAAAAGATATTAATAGTCAAAGACATGTGTCAGTCAAATTGGGGCATTAATTATGATATGTAAATTGTGAACCATATCATCGATAAAAATACATATATGTAAAAAAAAAAAAAAAAAAGATATAAATATGATTACTTATGAAAAGGTGAGATGCATAATGACTAAATAACTAAAAAGTAAAAATTGTTCTACTATTTGTAATATTTTGTTTATAATTTTTTTTATGTAAGGCAATTAGGTATTCAAATAAAACCTCCCTAATATTAAAGAAGAGGTGAAAGAGTGGTATCTAATCAAATAGTCATGAGCCTAGTCTAAGTATTATCTAGTTCATCTTAAACCTGATGTGTTATGGTAAGTAGGATCATAGTTACTCGAGTTCATCCTAAACATGAATACTGAATAAGTTATGGTAAGTAGGGTCATAGTTCCACGAGATCAAACGATCTTACATTTCTATAATCACTAAGCCTAAATCTTTGCTTAGAAAATTCAATCATCGATGAGGACTTATAAGGAGGTGTCCAGACTCTAGCCCTCATTTGCAACTCTTGATAGAGAATTAACCTCAACAAGATAGGATGTTACTAGCTAAGTAGTCTCCTAATTTTAGGAATAATTATCCCTTATCCTACATACACAAGGTTAACCAATCTAACTACTGCGATGGATACCTCTTTCGAGGCTCTCCAATTCTAGGAATAGTTAGCTTGACCATCAAAGCAAAAGAAAAATATAAAAATAAATAAATAATGTCAAGATAGCACAACTCCAATATACCAAATCATATAGCCAAGCATTATGCAAGGGTGAGAATGGCTAAATCATGACTTTCTAAGGTCACACATCCCCTAAATCAAACCCAACCCCTATATCAAAGAACCTACTCAATCATATTAGAAGGAAACAAGTATACTAAGCTAAAAGAACCATAAACTATTTGGGTAGAAATCCTAACTTTTTTTGTCAAAAGTAAAAAGAATAAAAAAAAATAAAAAAAAATAAAAAACTTTAAACTAAACATGAACAACATTACCATATGGTGTAAAGAACTTCAAACTAAAGATAAACAACAAGAACAATTATCATCAAAGATTAAAGGATAGAAACTTGTACTAACGAACTCCTTGAAAAGCTTAAGAAGAAATGAACAGCAAGCTTCCAAAGCACTGGAATTCAAAGTTACAACTACAAAGATTAAATGTTGAAAGAAAAGGAATTAAAAAGTTAGAATATCAGAAGACTAGCATCAAAATATACAGAATTCAGAAAATGCAATTAAACGTACTCAAAAACAAGAATGGCTTATCATAAACCCACAAAGAAGAAATACAGAAGGGTCAAACATAAAAAATCAAAAAGGAAAGAGCAACAAAAGAAACAGAGAGATGTAATTTTTAGGTGAGCAGAGAGGTTAGCAAACTCACTTTTATCTTAATTGCAGCTCTTGCAGGTTTGGGTGGCAGGGGCTCAACTCCATGAATCATTTTATCTAAAATGTCAAAAAATAGGATCAATGTATTTAGGCTCTACTGATATTTAAAGGCAAAAAAATCTAAATAGCTCAAAGAAAAATGTTCTCTTACTGAAATAAGTAACCTATGGAATATAAACAGGACTGTCTTTCGGGTTGCAGAGCACCACAAGTATATATTTAATCACCGCTTCCAAATTTAATACTTTATGATTATGCAGAGCATTTATCTGGCTTCTAATGTGGACTACCTAGCTGACCCAAGGCACATTTACAGACTGCTTTGGCAGCACTTGATGGTTCTGCTTAGACATGGGATGGTGCTACCGAATGGCATTAGATAAGCTTCTTTTGTGACCTCAACAAGAATGTTTCACGGCTTCCACAGATCTACAATTACTTCTTGTCAGTTGCAATTTTCTTATGTACATTATGAATCAGTGGATGCTTCCTTTTTTAACAATAGACTTTCAGTAATCCAGTATATATCATAGAACTGCTTGATAGTATTAAGCTTTTTTAGTCCCATCATACTTTTTTTTATTGTCCTCAATTTGGTTTCACAACAAACAGTGCATTCCACAAATAAATTACACTTGTTGATTTGAAATAAAACAGACCTTCAAATTTTACAGCAATTCCTTTACTAAAGAATCCTCATAATATAACTATTCATTTACAATATATACTATTGCCCTCTTTGATTAGGTGTGAAAACTCAAAAGCAAATTACGTGAGCTTGCCAAACGGGTTGATAATGATAGCTAATAAAACCATCAAATTCATAATGAACTAAAAATTATTGAATGACATATACTGTGTAGTTCTTTTTATTACAAAGTCTTACTACTGACATCAAGCAGCAAAAACATCACAACAATAGTATATGTTTGCAGTATAACAGTTAGATATACTTGCAAAGAAAACGTATGCTGGAATATTAGATAACCTAAGCAAAAACAAAAACATATACAAAGTAGTTTTTAAGTTGATTGCCATTTGCTAGGATAAAAAAGCATATAATATAATCCATATAGAGAACAGGAACAATCCAAAACAAACAATCTGCTAAAGAGTGAAGAAACTATAATCTACACAAAATGCACGTAGTACAAGATCTATCTTTTAGTCTGGTTCAAACCATGACCTTCATTAATAACAAACTTGCATTGCTCGAAAAGATAAGATGAGAGTATGAGTCTGAACTTAAGGCTATATGCATCCTATGGATGTGTAAAATTTTCTTGAGATATTACTAATTACAGACCTATATTTTGTACTCCCTCTATCCCTAAATGGTTATATGAGACAACTACTTTACTCTCACACCAAGTACATTTGGCTCTACCACATTTCCCTCTCATCAACTTATTCCCACTAAAAATTAGACATGTAACATCACCCCAATGAGGCAAAAAATAAAGGATGGCGGAAGTATTAAGCACTTCCCAATTGTAAAGAAAGCAACAGGACGCAAGCAAAAGTAATTGATTAGCAAATTAAGTAACACTAAATTTGATAGACTTAATGAGAACCATTTCTCCCAAGTTTCACAACCACCTTTTGTCTCAATATGACAATATCCAAAGATTTGAAGCTTGACTTGGCCTATGGCAACTATATGACAAGCACCCATCAACCACAAAAAAATCTACGGAAACATACACACTATAACTTCTTCGCCATCACTGAATCATATCAAACAAGGCATTATACTCATCCAGCCATTAACCGAAATCAAACAACGAAAACCCGAGCCACCTAGTTTCCACCTCACATTTAATGTCACACTTGATGAACATAATCTCTTTCTATATCCCCACTTTCAACAATCAAATCCAAATTTAAGATCATCACTACCATAACTAAGGCATGCAACATGTATATCTAATAATCATCAATCAGGGATACTGATTTGACAATATTCACTGATTCCTCATAAGCAAAACAAACCAATACAGTAACCTAATATCAATTATAATTTCCTGAAATAGGCCATTTCAATGTCAAATCACATAACATTTGTTATCAATCAAATTGTAAGGACAACGCGAATAAAAAGGAATGAAATTGGAGGTGAAATTAAGCAAAATCAAGAGTATGAATATAAAATAGTACTGATTTTAGCAACTATGTTTGAATCTAATTAGGAATTTTACCTGAAAATTTTGAGGTTGTAGGAGAATTAAGATTAGGGTTTGCGGCAGAACATTTTCAGTCGTCATCTTCTTCGTCAGCTCTTGATTTCCCCCGTTAGCAAAAATAACAATGGAAGAATATTGGTAGAATGGAGTTTTTTTTTTTTTTTTTTTTTAAGTACTCTCTCCGTATTATTTTTTTTAAGTGATTCACTTTTCATTTCCGATCGTATTTTTTTTAAGTGTTACACTTTTTTTTGGAAAAAATCTACATTAAACTATTATATCTCTCTTCTCTCGTCTCCACCCAAACCCACTACTACTTCTAATTTCTATATTATATCTTTCCTCTCACATTTATTACTTTTCAATAAACTATTAATCTCATTATCTTTCTTTTACAATTTTTTAATACTCTAACTACCCCGCTTACCTCTTATTTTATTTAAGTCAATTAAATTGTCCAAAACTATGTGTCGGTTAAAATATAACACTTAAAAAAACACAGAGAGAGTAGAATTGTACTTCAAGTCTCCAAGTTTCACTTTTTTTTTTGTTTTTTTTTCAAACTTCTATATACGAGTAATAAATTAGATTAGTTTGTTCTTTGTTGTGCTATTGAGCCATTTTTACTCCACCTTATTTTTAAGTGAATTCTGAATTAATTATAGGAAGTTTTATAAAAATAACACCATAAAAAAAATTAAAAAAAAAACACAAATTTGATTATACTCCGTCTGATCCTAATTGTTTGCTCCACTTTCCTTTTTAAAGTATTCCCAAAAGATTGCTCCATACTACTTTAGTCATGTTTTCCCACTTGCACTCTCTCTATCTCTCTCCTCATTGATATTTGTGTCAACCCATGTGCACCATTTTTTGTCCAAAGCCTTAATAAGTGGATTTATGGTTTGGGGCAAACAATTGAGGACAGAGGGAGTAACTAATAATTATAAGTTATAACACCAACAACAATATATATATATATATATATATATATATATATATATATATATATATACTTGACCCACTTTCTATTTGCCGTCGTTTTTTAATACTTGCTTCATTTCCTTATTTGGAAAGCTTTTACAATATTTAATCAATTTCTCTTACCTAGTGGTCCCAACATATGTTCTCTATTCTCCAATTCTCTCCACTACTTTTGTCTTCTATAATTTTTTATGCTTCCACTAACCCCACTACCTCCATATTTTATTACTTTCTCTAATTTCTCCTAAAACTCCGTGCATGGAGAAATGGAGCAAGTATTTAAAAACGGATGGAGTATATATATTTCACTACTAGTAAATGGATTTTTGGAAACCATAAATTTAAAATTAAAATATAAAAAAATAAAAAAATAAAAAAAAAAAACAAAAACAAAAACAAAAACAAAAATTTATTTCACTATTATTAAATGGATTTTTGGATGGAATTCATTAGTGGAACCCCTAAAAGACATGTGACAAGTGTCTATTAGTTTAAATAAATAAATAAATTAATATTTAAAAAAAAAGAAAATAAAAAAATAAAAAAGAAAGATAAAAACCCTTAACCCCTAACTCAGCCATCCCCACCACTGACGCCACTTGCCCAGCCGCACCGACACCCTTACCCAGGCTGCCGACACCTCCTGCCCCCACCCAAAACCACCAAACAACAACAGCAATTATCTGGCCAAGTCTACCATTAGCACAATAGCCCACATTCCATAATTTCAAACTCCACATCTCTGCGACTCTGCCGCACCCACTTCCACCGAGCTCAACATAGCAGCAATTCGCCGCTGATTCGACCACCGGCACTACACTCTACCTTAACCTAACCTTGCAGCACCCCAGCTAGCCAACCACCAACAATTCTATGCTTAAACCCTAACGGTCGAAACCCTAAAGGTCGAAAACCTCCAATCCTTTACCCTTTAACCCTCAAAACGGCCGGAATAGACCATTGAAATTCAGAGTGGTCAATTTCGATGGTCGATTTGGCCGTTTAAAGGGTGAAGGGTGAAGGAAAGGGGGTGGTTTTGGGCGGTGGTGGCTAGGCTGAGGTGTTTTGGGTTGGACTAGGGTGATGCGTCGACTGCGGAGTTTAGGTTGGGCTAAGGTGTAGTGGTGCGTCGGCTGGGGTACGTGGGGAAAGGAGTGTCGGCGGCGGCAATGGTGGTGGTGGGGCTGGTTCAGGTTAGAGCGTTCAACTTGGGGTTATAATTTTTTTTTAACAATAATACAGTGACATGTGGCAAAGTGGACCACACTTAACGAATTCCATCCGAGAATCCGTTAGATGGTGGTGAATTTTTTTTTTTTTTTGACTTTATAATCCAAATCATGACTTTTGTGGTGTTATTTATTAAATTTCCTTAATTTTACTTGTAGTACTCCCTCCGTTCTTTTTTAAGTGACACACTTTCCTTAAACGGCCGTCATTTTTTTTAAGTGACATACTTCCTCTTTTAGAAATTTCTTACATTTTAATAATATATCTTCACCCCACTGTATCTTACTTTATCATTTCTCACTCCTTTCATGGTCCCCACTTCCTCTCACATTCTTTTAGTTTATCATTTCTCACTCCTCCAACCTACCTTACTAACATCTTATTTTATTAAAGTCAATAAAATCTCCTAAAACTACGTGTCGGTCAAACTGTGTCACTTAAAAAAACACGAAGGGAGTACTAAATTATTATTATTATTATTATTATTATTATTATTATTATTATTATTATTATTATTATTATTATTATTATTATTATTATCATTATTATTATTATTATTATTATTATTTTACAAAGGATTCAGTTGCATATACTTAAAAGTTTATAGGCTTATTAAGACCTCTGCAAAGCTATGAGCAACACTTGCTCTTATGAATAAAAGAAAACAAACAAACTTAAAAGAAATTGACAGTCATCCCCTAAGTGTTGAAACCACTTTGTAGATAGCACCGCCTTGATTGTAGCGAACTGCAGCCTACATTACAAGTTAATCCCAGTGTCCTTTTTTCCACCAAAGGTTGAAGCTTGGGTAATTGACTATAGTAGAAACATCTAATAAATTAAAATTGTTAATGAGTCTTAGTATTTCATTTCTTAAATACTACTCCCTCCGTTTTTAAATATTTGTTCCATTTCTCCATGCGCAGAGTTTTAGGATTTCTCCATGCGCGGAGTTTTAGGAGAAATTGGCGAAAGTAATATAATATGGAGGTAGTGGGGTAGGTGGAAAAATAAAAAAAAAAATTGTAAAAAGCAAAAGTAGTGGAGTGAATTGGAGGAGAGAGAAATGAAGTTAATATAATATGATTCATGGTAGGTCCAGTAGGTAAGAGAAATTAATTAAATATTGAAAAAGTTTTTTAAATCAGGAAATGAAGCAAATATTAAAAACGGCCGAAAAAAAAGTGGAGCAAATATTTAAAAACGGAAGGAGTACGCAGTAAGATATTTATTAATTACCACCTTTATTGAATATTATATGCAACAAAGGCCTTAACACCGACTCCTCATAAATTTGATTGTGAGTATTATATGGAAATGTGTTAAGGAGAGTGATAAAGAGAAAGGACAGCTTAAAAAAAAAAAAACATTTGTTGTACATAACATGAAGTATTAATATTTGATAAATATTGTACATATTATGAAATAGAAGTAGTAAATTATTATGGATTTTTTTAATGTATTTTTAATTTCTCTTTCTTTGTGAATGAAATTGTTGTAGGAAATAATGGTGTATATATTATACTTTCACGCTTTTTATATTTGCAACAGTTCAACTTTTACATTTCATATGTTCCACTTTTGGCTAGCTTTGATGATTTGTTGCTAAGCACAGATATAGTCATGTGGGATATTATTAGATGTGTCTCGATGTATACTGTATAATATCATATGTTTATAATTTTTACATATAAGTATCTTTTTTTTATTTTTTTTTATTTTAGGAATACATATAGGTGTTTATTGACAAGCGTGAAATGAGAACAATTACAAGTATTCAAAATTAATAAATAAAAAAAATAAAAATAAACAAATGAAGCACTATTTTTTTTTCCAGGGTTGTCCTTAATAGAGCTTTGGGACTCGATTGTCAATTTTAAATCAATGTTTCATTTCTCCGGTGATTACAGGAAATTGACATTAAAATACTACTCCCTCCGTCCCTAAATTACATTCCTATTTCTAATATTTGTTCCTCATATAATGGAGGAAAACAGGAATGTAATTTAGGGACGGAGGGAGTACATTTTAATCTATAACTCAATTTTTTGTTCTACAAATTAATATTTTCCATTCAACAAACAACATAAAGTGTGACATAATAACTTGGTAATAAGACATTTGGGATGTTTGGTTCATTAATTGGAATAGATTGGTTTGGAATCTCATACTAGAGAGGTATGGATGGATTCTATAACCTATACTAGTCTAATTTGTTTGTTTCTAATGTTGGAATGGATTATAGGCTTCATTAATATAATAGATTGTGAATCTTAGGGGAAAAGATGGGTATGGGATTCCATAGGTACGGGGTAGAGTTAAAACCTCTTGGGTATGAAATTCCATACTCCCTCCATGTTTAATACTCCGTAAATGTTAAACTTTGGCCGGTACATAATGTTAGGCAATTTAAGTGACTTATAAAGTAAGAAGTAAGTGGGGTAGCTTAAATAAAATACGAAGTTTTCCCTCCGTCCCCAAAACTTCGGCCCCTTTGGCCTAATTTTAGCCCCAAAATGATTGACCAATTTGCACTAAAATACCCACCAATTTATAACAATATTTGTGCAAAATTAGCTTCCCCATATAAAATTGTGTTTTTTTCATGTATTTTTAATACTTTATCTCTCTACTTTTTTACAAACCCCATGTAAATTTATCTTTTCAATATGTTTTTATTTCTTTTTTATTTAAGTTTCTTAATAACCGCGAAATCAACCCAAAAGGGTCAAAGTTTTGGGGACGGATGGAGTAAGAAGTAAGTGGCCTGGGGTAGTTGAGTGTTAAAAAATTATATATATATATATATATATATATATATATATATATATATATATATATATATATATATATGTATGTATGTATGTATAAGATAGTGTGGTTAATAATTTATTGAAAAGTAATGAATGTAAGAGGAGAGAAAATGATGATGATGATGATGATGATGATGA